CGCCAAAAATCCAATTTTGCTCGGATTTTCATAAAATTTACATTTTTGTGATCCCAGATACTTGTGTGATCATATCCAATAGCAATCTCAACCTTTTTGAAATTTCCGAAATTTTAGGACATTCCACTGCTCATGAATTATTCGAAAATTTTCAAAATTTCAAAAAAGTTGAGATTGCTACTGGATATGATCACACAAGTATCTGGGATCACAAAAATGTAAATTTTATGAAAATCCGAGCAAAATTGGATTTTTGGTGACAGTTGAAGTACATGAAAACAGGGCTTTTTTCGTGTTTTTACACCTTTGAGGGGGTGTGGCAGGCGCAAATGTGGCCATGGCGTCAAACCACTCTAGGGTTATCCTACATTCATCTAGGACTATCAAATATCCAAAGGGCATCGAGATCTGAGAGGGGCATGTAGAGGGTCTCTCCTCCTAAATATAAACCTAACGCTACGTACATACATAAATAAGCTTATGTACATGTAAATATGTATGTATGCAGTACCGTACCAACCGTGGTATATCGTGGTACCAAATACCAGGCCCGGGGCCCGCAGGGGCCCGGGCCGGGTCCCTCGCCGTACACTAGATAAAATGAACTTTTTGTGTCGACGATTTTACGGTGCGTTTCAAAATTAAAGATAATTTTAAGATTGGTCATAATTAAATTAACATGCATTGTCCAGTGCTTATATTTTTACAGTTTATTCCTCCAATAGTATGTAATGTTTGATAGAAACGGTAGCCAAATGGGGAAAGTTTTAATATGGCTATAAACAATTTTAAATAATTTGCTAAATTGACCTGTCTCAAAATAGAAAGATGGGCAGTTTAAAACAGGGTTCGGAAAACCCAACCCCGCGGGTTTTTCCGGGGTTTTTGGGGTTTTTGTGGGTTTTTGTGGGTTTTTGTGGGTTTTTGTAGATTTTGGGGCAGGTTGAACCAAAATTCTTTAAATTATATATTAGATAAAAAGTAATTTAATATACGATTTTGACATGCAATTTTAAGCGTTATCATTGAGTTGGACTGTTAAATCGAAAATTCATATTTCGCATGCAAACTTGGAAATATGCAATAAAACTTGGAAATTCAAGTCGCACATGAAAATTCTCAAAATTTCATGATGAATCCGTCAATTTAATTAGCATTGATTTAAGTTGTAGTTTAAGGGATTTTGTTTCAATCTGTCCCAAAATCTTACAAAAACCCCGGAAAAACCCACAAAAACCCACAAAAACCCGCAAAAACCCCATTAAGCATTAGGGTTTTTCCGGAGATTTGATACCCCAAAAACCCACAAAAACCCCAAAAACCCCAACCCACAAAAACCCGGGGTAGCGAACCCTGGTTTAAAACTGAGCTTATAAGTACAATTTTTCTGACTGGAGTACTACATTGGTATCATTTTTCTAAATTAATATTTGGTGAAGCCACCATGAGCCAAAATAACCTCAAATATACGACTTCTCATGGAATCGGTGAGGTTTCGTAAAGTTTCGATCGGAATACTTGCCCATTCTTCATGAATGACTTGTTCAAGTTCTCGTTTGGACCCGTATTGGCACCCATGATCATAGACTCGGCGTAAAAGTTCAGCCCAAAGATTTTCCAATGGATTTAAATCCGGACTTCGAGCCGGCCACTGCAAGGTCTGTATCTTTTTGGCGGTCAAAAAGTCGGTTGTCGACCGCGAAGCAAGGATGCTAGCGTTATCCTGCTGGAAAATCCATCCGCGCCCACCGATTTTGGCCCCCTGGCGAATAAGATTGGCTTTCAGGACATCTTGATAACCTGCCGAGTCAGTTCTTGGTGGAATTGACACGAGCTCGGTCTTGCCATGGTATCCATATGCGCCCCAAAGCATAACCGATCCACCTCCTGAAAATCATTTAATTTGTTTTTAGCTATACTTTGAAGAACAAGTTTATATGCATGTGTATTGCTTTTTATTTTACATATTACGCATACCAGCTTGTCTCTTGGAGAAAATTTCTGGAGTCTTTCTCAAATTGTGACAATAATAGGCATAACCATCAGGACCATCCAGATTGAACTTTTTTTCGTCGCTGAAGACGACTTTCTACCACTCCTTCTCCCACGTCGTGTGTTCTCGAGCAAAGTCGAGTCTTGCGTCGCGATGCCCCTGGGTCAATGGGGGCTGTGTAACCTTTTTACGCCACTGGAGGTCCGGGTTGTTGTTCGATGAACGGTGTCCTTTGACACAGAAATTGGCAATTCTCTTGCAATTTGACGAACAGAATATTGCCCTGTTGATGCTAATTGTGCAATTTTTCGTTCGTCTCGCTCAGTGAGAATCTTTGGGCGTCCGCCCTGATGGGTTTTTGAGTTAAGATAATTTGAAATAACGCTTTGAGAACACCCAAGAAAATCTTGTGCCAGACCTTGGTCTTTTAGGAGCTGAACTTGCCCCAGTTTGAATTCGCTCAGTGGCTGACCTTTCGGCATTTTGTTTGCACTTTACAACGGACCAAATTATACTGACGAATCTTAACTTGCCTTCCCAAAATAACACTGCACATTAAAAAATAAAACGCCCATCTTTCTATTTTGAGACAGACGAATTTATCTTAATTTAATTATTTTCTTATGTCTTCCCCATTTCATATCCGATGTGGATGAATTTTTGTATGGATAGTACTAGATAGTTTATCTCTACCATACATGCACGGTATTGCTGAGACGCGATTCGGTAGTTTAATTTTGGTCATTTGTATAATTATCTTTACATTTTGAGACGCACTATACGAATAATTTATTTAAATTTAATTTTAAAGTAATTTATTTTAAACAAAAAGTTTAATGTTCCGCTAAAATAGGTTGCATATTTGATTATTCTTATTAAATACTTTCTGAGTAGTTTTGCATGAGTTTGATTAGCTAAATATTGCGTGAAGTTATTTTTAGCTTCGACAATTTTCATTTTATTGAATTCTAAATGATTACATATTTATAATCTGTATTTCTAGCCGACCACAGCAATTTAACAATGCATGTTAAATATAGTTATGCAAGGGACTCTAAAGTACTACCCCACAAGGATTATGCGAAAACTGGTCGCATTCGACAGATAATTTCGTGAAACTAACATATTTAATTAAAAACTTGGTTCTAATTACATTAAAGCTAAATACGCAATTAGGTAGCGGAAACCTCGCAGTTTTGCAACGGGTTAACGGGTCAGCAGTATATTTATCCTAGTATAACCAGGATAGAATGCCACAATATTAATGTGATATCGTGGAATTCTATCCATATGTGTATATTTGGAGCATTCTTTTTTCCGAGGTTTGTGTACTGCATTTGACTAACTTTGATTTAATTTCTTTAAAACAATTAAGAAAAACAACCTCCACATTTTGCAAATTTTTGAAATTATGCAATTGCTTTTAAGTTAATACAAATAATAAAATTTAAATAATTTTTTCAATTGTGCATTTTTATTGTTTGTTTAAAATTTTATAATTGTCTATCGTAATTTTTTGAAATTATTGAAATTTTGTGAAATTCTGAACGTTTTTGAAATAATGATTTTGTAAATGTTATAGGACATTTTGCAATTGTGAAAATTATTTCAAATTTTAGACAAAATCTAAAAGATTACAAATCACGAAATGTACATTCCTTGCATCCAATTGTAGGTAATCTTGAGGTGGAGAATAGAGTTTTGCTCCTACACTACGCTGTGAATTACTGACTTTTTGCGCACTATTGCAAAGTAAAAATCTCCGTGGGACGTAAAATTTCTCCCTCTGTTATCTCAAAGAATGGTGAAAGATGCAAAAGTTTGTATTTCTCCGTCCCGGTAAGATTTTTGCTGTGAAATAATTTCGGAATAATTCGCTTGAATCTCATGTTTCTATGATAAATTTCTAATTTCCTTAAATTTTTTTTGTTTGTTTAAATTTTTTTTTTTGAAAATTCTAAAAAGTATTTAGAATATTCCGAATAATTTACTGTAATGCCAACGATTTTACGTCAACGTATTTTTACATTGATTTTTTATCTAAGTATTTGGTGGGACTTGGGGCGTACACTGAACTGAATTAATCATCAAGATATGAAAAACTTCAGCGAGACTCAGAAGATATGATGTGTACACGAAACTTTTTTTTTGACAGCGCTCGGATTACCGCCCAGTACACAGCCATTCTTTTTTTAATATTCGTAATTTAAATTATTTTGCATAAAGATAAACTAGTTACGTCCGGTTATGCGTCTTCAGTGCTTTAATTCTGATTTGAAACTTCAGATCGACACTTTTTTGAAATGGACATAAAATTTTTGTTATGCATTTTGCAAACTTTTAGATGAACAGTGGTTCAAAGAAAATCAGCTGCCAGCTTTAAAAGCCCGGCCCTTTGGAAATGATAACCTTATTTTTCATGAGAAAAGGATGAGCAATACGATGAAATCATTCAAAATATCCAGTAACGAATGCTTCACCCAAAACTTAATACTTTTCGATACGTTCTATAATCTCGCCTGACACTAAGTAATTAAATTTCTATTTCAATTCGGTAAATAAAAAAAATATTTGTATGAAAAGTACGATGAACTTTTCATGAACCTCTTGGTTTGTATAGCCAAAATGCAATAATCGAATATATTGAACCGATGAAAGGGCCCGGTGCCCAAAAACATACCAGGCCCGGTAATTTCGTGGTACGGCTCTGTATGTATGTATGTACATACGTAATAATTTATGATTACCAAAATATCTATAATATATTACATATGTATTTGAACCATTGAAGGAGGAAATCTAATCATCTAATTTCCAAACAGATTCGAGCTAAAAAATAAATTTGAACATGTATGTACCTGTCAGCTAATTAGATCTAATTATTAGAGTACCCTTTTTATGCTGGCCTTACTTCTTACTGTAATTAATTGGTACTGAACCACCCTCTAATGAATTAATTAGCCTAAATGTTTTAGTATAAATTTAATTAAAGACAGGCTCAAATTACAAACTCTTAGCAGGTGAAAGTGGTGTCCAAAAATCTGAGTTATGGTTGATTTGCCAAGTTGAATTCGAATCAATATGGACATCCGACCCCATTGTGGTTTCCTATCAATGGGAATAAATTGTATCGTCGTTACTAATTTGATAATGTAGACATTTTATGTACTTATGTACCTATGTATATATGTTGTGAAAAGCTTCATGGTTAATTATTTACAAGTATTAATTATGTAATTACCTATCACATAAGTCAGCCACACAAATATGTATCAAAGGCCAATGCCAATCCATTTGGTGGCGGCGTCAATTTTGGATGATTTTTCAGCGCCACAGTAAGAAATCGGATTTATCGGTGGCGGCGGCACGATGCGAATGTATGTACGATCGGCCGCGTTGAAATCTATGTGTATGTTGCATTATTCCAATCAAGTTTTAGATATGACGAAATATCAAAACCTAATTACAAGAAATACAATACCCGATTTTAGTATGACTCATAATATAATAATTGTTTTTTACATTTACATACCTACATATTTAGTATATAGATATGTAAAATTGAATGAAACTTACTTCGGCGTGGAACGTTGTGTACACTATCCACTCCACAATTTTTCGTTAACCTACTACTACTCGGTAATCTACTGCGACCCGTAAAGAAATCAATTAACCATCTAATTAGCTTACAAAAATAATGTGTATTTATTATCTTTCAATTAAATTGATTCTCTCTTACCATTTTCCTAACCAGCCAGGGCCACGCCACATTTCAACAGCTTTGTTACATGATAACCATTAAGCTCGCTGGAAGGGACACTACTGAACTAAATAAATTAACGTTAGAAATGACCAAGCCAAGAAAACGGTTTAGATCATTGGTGCCTTTCTCTTTTACGGTTTTATTAATATTTATTTTATTTATAGTTCAATATGTAGTGTAGCTTTGTTCACATGCACCTGTGTCAGAATGTGGCGATATTACCATGTGAACCTTTTTACTTTGCTCCGTCGCATCGTGGTGGGCGAAGGTGCGTATTTACCGTAAATGTTCTATTTGTAGACGGGTCTTGAGGGCAAGATTCATAAAGTTTGTAAACGGGCATAATTAATTACATATTTGTACATAATTAATGCCCTCGTTTAATTCTATAGATGGGACCTACAGATGCTTCAAACAATATGTATATAGTAGGGTCTACCTCAGGCTCGACGAGGAAAAAATTGCTTCAAGATGAATTATGCAACACACTACATATGTAGTTAGTAATTAAAGGGACTGATTAATAAAGGTTGTCATTAGTACGCATATGTACATACATACACTGTAAACTATCCGGTAGAGTCGCATACCAGTACTCCGTACCAGTATTAATACCGTATCAATACCAGTACCCCGTATTGGTATTGATTTGGTAATAATTCCTTACCGGATTGGTAATAGCTTGAATAAGAGTGGTAACGATTTCATTACCACCACATTTCTACGCCGTAACGATCGATATTACCAATGCCCGTGGAGTCATATGCATATGTACTCCGTCAGGTAATGATTCGTAATGATTCAATACCAGTTGCCTAAAGAGTGTATGTACATATGTACATATATGTATATGTATATATACATATACATATATGTACATACCTATATGTACATATATGTACATATAGGTATGTGCATATGTAGCTTACATTTTATGTAAAAATTCACTCCTAAAAAAACTCCGCACTTTGTGGGTGTATTCATGTTTGCTTAATAGGTATTTTCATGCATAAAATTATGTATCTCGTCATAAAGTGACTGATTTATAAGGTTGCATGACCATTGGTACACATAATTAGCATTTTATTTGAAAATCCTCCCGAAAAATATCCGTCATTTTTATGTGTGTATAAATGCATATTTGATTTAATAGGTATTTTTATTTCTAAGATTTATCTCGTCGTCCATCCCACGTCCATGCTGAGGGCAGCCCCATTAACCTGCCCGCCTGCCTCGGAGGATAGGAAGACCGCAAATGCACCAAGATTTTCAGGTTTGACAAATTCCGCGGTGGGATGTTTGTCCAGGAGGAATAAATTTTTGGCGGCCTCCTTCGAAATTCCGCGCTCTTCTGCCAACTTATCGACCTGCTTAAGTACGAGGGGCGTCTCTGCAAAGCCAGGGCAAATAGTGTTGCTGGTCACGCCCGTTCCCGCACATTCTAGCGCGATCGCTCGGGACATTCCTGTCGACAAGATTTGAACGTTAGCAGAGGAAGGATATGTATTTACAAAAACCCGTTTTAATATGTACATACATATTTAGGATTCACGAAAAAACGTCAAAATAATTATAAAAAGACGAAGAATTAAAAAATAATTTTTGCAAAAATTAATATTTTAAAATTTATATCTATGGATATTTTGTCGAAATTCTTTGAGAACTAAATCGTTTCACATATTTACAATATTTACAAAATATACATACGTATTTTTGAAAAAAAGATTCACGTATTTTTCAAAATATGTACTAATAGAAATATTTACATGAAAATGTATTTAGAAATCTTGAACAAGGTTTAAAAATTTTTTCTGATCTATAAGAATTACACCCACAAAGTCTCATCATCGGTGGTCGTAAAATAAAAATGTCGAAATAAATACATTACACAAAAATTACGAAACATCAGATTAATTATGCAAATTATGCTGATTTACCTAACACTCCATGTTTTGATGCGCAATACGCCGACTTGTTGACTGACCCCCGCATGCTGTGAGCCGACCCGATATGCACGAGCCGTCCCCACCCGCGGTCATACATCCCGGGTAACACCGCCTTGCTGAGGAGGAACGGTGCCGTCAAATTAATCCGCATCACTGCATCCCACCTCTCACTAGGATAATCCTCCGTCCTCGCGGTGTACTGAATACCCGCATTGTTGACTAAAATGTCCAATTTATTTCCAAGTTTTGACACCGTTTCAGACACGAGCTTCGAACAGCCCGCCTCCGAAGAAATGTCAGCCTGAGTATAGCTCACTTTTGGGGAGGAAAATGATCTCAGTTTTGCGAGGAGGGGTGCCACCTGATCCTCCCCTTCGAGTCCGTGCACCATCAGGGTGGCGCCAGCTTTCGCGAATTGGGTCGCAATCCCAAGACCGATTCCGGACGTGGACCCGGTGACGAGGACGGATTTTCCGGAGAGGAGGAGAGCAGACATGACTGCAAATAAATCATAAATAATGCATTGTTAGAAATCTGGTATATTTAATCAGGCAAGTATTGATTCTCGGTAAGTTACTACCGACTGGTATTAAAATTATACCGGTCAGTGAAAATTTGGTCTAGATCTGGTAAGACTTTGGTACCGAGCTATACCATGTTGCTTATCACTTACTTATATGAATACCGCTTGGTATTATTTTAATACCGAATTCCTAAGAGCGTGGGACAAAATTAAGCAAAATTTGCAACAATGTAATTTAGAAAAATACGTATATATCACAATCAAATTTTTAAATTGTCAAATTATGTAATATCTCGTCACCGTGTTATTACATAATTTTATTCTTACCTTGTATTTTTAGTTGGCTGTAGTGTCGTGAGGGCTGGATTACAATGTAAAAACTTGAAAAAGTGGGACCAAATTCCACTCGTCACAGAACAGAAACCGGTTCCTTGTTTAAATCAGTGTCACCAATCCAACCAGGCAAATGTATCAGCAATAAGGTCTTTCACAAACATACATATCTTGCAACGTATCATTTCTAGAAATTTTAATTGTGTTCGTGTGCAGCATTGGTGACGACCTTGTGTATCATAGATGGATATGTAATGTACATACACTTATGTATGTATGTCAGCAGTAACCTAGTCAGGTATTGCAATACCAATATATTGGAACCTGTGTTAGGAAAGCTTTATTAAATTTTATGACAAGCTTAACATTGCCTGTCGTCAGGTATATATACATACATTATTATGAACGTATGTACGAGTATGCATTTATCATAGGGATGTATGTACATAGTGTACATATATATTTACGTCATGTACATTACATGTACATTAATCAGGTAACATGCGTATGCATCTTACCTGATTGCATATTCATATATGTTTACATATTATGTAAATACCGTAAATACTCTATTTATAGCCGGGGCTAACATCCAAAACGGAGGCTACAATTAGAGACCGGCTATAATTAGAGACCCGGCTAAATCTTGTTCCACCCAAAATTTTGGATGTTACAAAATCATACTGACGCAATTTGAGTTTTTTTATTTAGCACGATATGCCATCAGTAACCCATTCACTTTAAATATACATTTTTAACGAAGTTTAGCAGGTTTTTGTAAATTTTCTGCCATGATTATATCCATTACTAACTTGAAATTAGCAGGTAAAAATTAGAAGTTCAACCTATTCGTTGATAACAATAATGTGAAACAATTTTCTTGACTGGGCTATGAACAAAGACCCAGCGGACAAGACAGGCCATAATTATAGACCCGGCTATATTTGGAGACCGGCTATAATTAGAGGTTTTACGGTACGTGTACATATATGTATAATATAATACATGTATTTACATATGGGTGTTTGTGTTCTTGGTGCAGGAACAATGTGGGGGATGATTTTTTAATTGGGTATTTTAGTACTAATTCCAACCGGGTAGGAATTTATGTATACAGTTATGCACATATTTACATACCTACATACTACATATGTACATGTTTAATTGTGCATACAAAAATATTCAGCTATGACATGTAATTCATAAAGTGCGAAATTTCGCACCCCATTTTCTGGAAAACCAGTTGATTTTTTGCTTGTAAGGATCGGTCACGATAGCATGACACTCACGTAATAAAATGCTCATAACTTTACACACGGTTAATGCAATTTCAAAAAAGTTGCATATGTTTACTACCAAAGGGTCTGGATTGCCACACAGTTCAAATTGTAATGATTCAATTCCGCTATCTGCTACAGATTGCATTTTCTTCTTCAGATTTCGCATCAAATTCTGCCCATAGACTGCACCTACTTTAAAGCTGATTCTCTTCCATCTGTCCTTAAGTTTTCGTAAGGTGTCTGGCGTTTCTGAAAGCTTAGAATATTTGGACTTAGTCAGCGCTCAGAATTTCTCAATTGGTCGCAGTTGAGGAAAATTTGGTGGGTGTTCATTTTTTCGCACAAATTCAATTTTTTTCACATGTTGGTACTGAGTGACCTTTTTGGCGTCATGGGACCTTGCGAGGTCAGGCCAAAACAAAACTTTATTTTTTTATGATCTTTGGTAATAAACGATTCCAATCCCCCTTTAATGCATGATTTAAGATAAACCCCCTGGTTTACAGTACCCTCCAAAATGACGGGATCGGAACATTGACCAATGCAAGACATGCGTTGCCAAATTCATCATTTTTTTGGGAATTGGTCTTTCTTTTGGACTTTGTCTTCATATTTTACTTTACACGGGTTGGCACTATGGAAAAAATGCCTTCCTGGCAGATTTGAAGGGTCAGCTGTGACGTAGGGCTCATCGTCCGTGATGACCACTTTTCCCCGAATGTTCCTCAACAATTTCTTGCAGAACGCATGAATCCTTTCCTGTTGTGTTGGTTTGTAATTTGGTGCTGGTTTTTTTGCCCTTGCTATAATCCCCAGTTTATGGACTTTGATTTTGCTCAGATAGCTTTTTGAAATCTTGACCTTCCTTGTCATGGCAGCCGTTGCCGTTGATGAATGATTTTTGAAAATTTTTTTATCCGATTTTTGACTTTTGTCGCCGATAGCTTTGCAGGTCGACTAGTGGGGACTTTGAATTTGACCTCATTGGATTCCTCGTACTTTTTTACGTATTACTTGATCTTGGATTCAGAAATACCTTCTTCTTTAAAAAAAATGCCAAGTAGTTTTGGAATCACTGTTTGCTTCATTTTTATGAAACTCAATTCCTCTTTTTTCCAACTCTTCCCTTTCAACCCAAGTTTTTCGAGTGTCAGCCATGACTGGATAATTGGTGACATATATCGATGGAAAGCTTGGTCTATAACTTGGTCTATTCAAAAATAATTTTTTCAAAATTTAATTTCGCTGTGTTCCCGCCTAGCGCGCCTTTGACGGGGCAGTGTCATACTATCGTGACCGATCCTTAAATTTAGCCGTGAGATCGATGACATTATTATTATTATTATGCAACCTATGTAATGACTGAATTGTTTGCAATACGACATTATCATATTAGTATGCAAATTGTATAGGAACAAAATAAGAAGATAGAGGTCTTAGAGCAAATCTTATATGAACCCGTTCACTTGGAAATTCGTCCTCAAAATTGCCAAAAATTATTCTTCAAATCTCAAATTTTGGTATAATATGCTAAATATATCTGACGTCAAATATCCGCGAACAAATAAGACTTCAATCCATTATCCACTTCGTATTTAGTCCTATTCGTCGCGCCCGGCATTAATGCTTTTCCGGAAGACTTCGCAACTTCATTGTTAATTTTCTCCCTCCGTAACCAAAATTTTCTTTAAGTATTGATTGTTTCACAGAGCTAGTGGTATGCCTTCTTACACATAGCCTACGTTTTTTTATTGAGCGAAGACAAGGGATGTATGTGGGGTTTTCATTTTTCGACGTCAAACTGAATTTGTTTTCGATTTCTTCCTTGATAGCTGGTGCACTGTGAATTATTCCAAGGTCGGGCCAAAAAATTAAATTCTATATTTTTTGATACTCCTTGATGAAAGGAATCAGACGGTCTATATTACATTTCAGAAAATAAACCTGTGCCTCCACACAGCCCATTTAAACTGAGGAGTCCGAAACAAGCCCAAATTGGCCCAACGCCTGCCTAACCTGAGATTTCTTGAGAAATTTCGAAAAACATTTTAATTTCTCTTCGGTTTTTAGTTGATAGACATATTTTCCATGAAAAAATTGCCTCCCCGGAGTTTCTGTAACGTTTTTGAAAACATACGACACATCGCCAATTACCAACTGTTTTGGTAAAATTTTAGTGCAGAGCTCGGGAGGTCTTGTGTTTACCATTTTTCTTAACTTCCCAAATATTTCGGTACAGATATTTTTGCATGCACTTTGACCCACAATTTACGGGCTTTAATATGATTTGCTTTTAACACGTAGTTTGTATTGATCTTTGACTTCATGGTCGCATCAGGCACGGACGTGGAGCGACACTTTACAAAAATAAATTTACTCGTTTTTAATTTCCGCGGGTCGATATGATGGTTGTTTCAAATGGTGCTTTTTTGAAGTTGTCATTTTCGGATTCTCCATACTTTTTTATGTGTGTCTTAATTTTTGCACGCTCAAACCCTTGTCCGTTGAAATGTAATCGAGCCTTCTAGGAGTCCTTGTCGCTCAGATTTTGATACTTACAAAAACTCGTTTCCCGATTTCCTCACTTTGAAGTGGGGTAGGAAATTTATTTGCCCATGAAAACTTATGAAATTTTGGGGAGACGTGGTCAGATATATTTAGCATGTTTTGCATGAATTTCAGATTTCTAACCCAATTTTTGACGACTCTGCTATTAAACGCCATAGTGATCGGGTTGATATAAGATTTGCTATATTTTCAGTATTGTGTGTTTTTATTTATTCTAAACCTTAATTACGATGTGGATTTTTGTGTACAAGAAGTTTCCAAAGTTTCATTTATGTACATACAGAAGTATTAATCGGGTGTAAGTCGACATATTTATCTCCCTGAAAAATTAGGTAAATCGAACGAGGCCCATTATACGGGTACTTGCATAAACCCTTAAAAACCAAATTTGCACAGAAACCTTCAATCTTAATGGTTGTAAAATCCATCTGAAATTCTACACTTCCGGTTGCTCAACTACTTTTATCCTTTCGACTGCGTCTTCGAAATCCCGACGCAGCATGTCTCGTTTCCTGCTTTCTAGATTCATCAACTTGGCGAAAAGTATATCCTTATATTCCTCCAGTTGTTTTCTTTCTTTCGCAATCACTTCGTCATACCCTTGATATCTTGGATCTTCCTGTCGCTCCCGTAGTTGCACTACAATTCGACAAGTTTCGTGAAATAAATCGTGCCCCTTGGAGATCGCTATGTCAAATTTTTTAATAACGTCGACCAAGCTTTCAACCGGAATCCCTGGTAGCTCGACGAGGGACATTCTAACCATGGGAAAAACAAATTTGTATACATGTATAAAAATTATTTATGCATATGTTTATGTAACATAGTCAAGTAAATTAAAGTATTTGTTAATAAAAATTGAGTTTTAATAAGTACACACATTAAGAAACCCGGTAACTAAGTTATTACCAGGCGGAGTATCTATGTGACTCTACCGCATGGTAATTAATTTATTATTGAGTGGTAGACATTTTGTTACCAAACCGGTAATAACCCCGGTCGCGAAATTTGAAAATATTACCAGTTGGTAACTAATTTTCTACCACTCAATAATAAGTTTATTACCATGCGGTAGAGCCACATAGATACTCCACCTGGTAATAACTTAGTTACCGGGTTTCTTAGAGTGTACCTTAATTTATTGAATAATATTTACTAGCTTTTGTGCTACTAAATTGCAAGTTTAGGAATAGATCGAAATAAATATTCGTATTTGCTCGTATTTATCGCTGTTTCTTGCTTGTAGGTTGACTGGACAGGTATAAAATTACGTCTACTCAACGTCCACCTCATTTCAGGAAGAATCTATATATGAATATATGAGATTGAAAACTGTGTTTGAGTTAGACACGCTCAGATATGAAACCCTTTTGGATGCTGGATAGATATGGATTTTGATAAGTAGATGATAACGACAATCATAGGTAGTTGGCGTGTGTCATACATTTACCATGGGTACGTACAAATGAATGTATGTAGGTCGTTATTTAACATATTTCTTTAGGTATTTAACTTTGTTTACCTTTGTGAATAATTATTGGCCACTGTTCAGAAACATGAATTGTATTTTTGTAGATAAATAATTATGTAATTGTGAAATCCGCGGAATGCAAGAATTCCATAAATGCGGAAATATAAATGTCTGGAGACACATTCCAGTTTGTTTATTTTTAGATGAACAGTTACATAAGAGTAACTGTTGTAGCTATGTAACGTATGTATGTACATGTCAGGTCAAGACGATGTAGCGAATTCCATAAGTTCTATTTTTAGCATGAACTCTGAGGAATTATGTACACATACCTGAAAGTTCTATTTTTAGAGCTTTCAGGAATGCGCTTTCAGTTTTGGCGTTCAAATTCCTGAACGTACACCCGCTTCCATCCCGTCCGACCGTTTGGCATAAATAAGGTCGCCGTCTCGGCAACATTAACATCTAGTAACTTGGCAGAGCCTTACAACCTCTGCACAAGACTGTATAGCGATTCTCAATCTGCCTCAATTGAGAATGTGAACTTGTAAATATTGTCTTAACTAACTGTATCAAATTGTCCCAAGTAGTAATTAAGTAACTGGTAGTATCAATTGACAAGTATGTATTTGCAACTCAAAAATAGTGAATAAATGTTATTGTCATTGTAACATTTAAACTTAACCAAAACGTTGTTCTGAGCAAGTTAATTCACATACAAACCAGCACACTTAAAAATCATTCATCAGAAATCCATCACAATATTTAGCACACTAAATCTCACATTTCACTAGTTACTCATGAACATAAAACTTGATTAAAACGCTCTGAATTGGAAATTATGCGCATTTGTTTGGGTAACAATGCATTTATGTATTAACGTATCTACATATGCATATACATACATATGCAGTGACCGATTGTTTTAAAATACATATTAAAATGTACATTCTCAATTTAAAAGAAATGCGTTAATTGAGTCTTTCACATGGATTACCTGCTTCTGAATCTTATGCTTATGTATCTGTATTGACACATAATTGTAAGAAAAGCGCTGTTAATGTACATGAATACATATGTACAGTCAATGGAAAAAGTATTGGCAACCCCCACGTCAGCTAAATAAAATTGGCTATAACCATGGAATGCATCATACAATTGGTATGGAAATTTGTACCCATTTAGCAAATATAATGTAGTTTTCGATTATAATCATGATTTATTAATTAAAATTAGATAAACACAGTTTTTAAATAATTTGTTTTGCGGGAAAATTTGCAAAATTTACCCGCAAAAAGTATTGGCAACCCTTAACTTAAAAAATCATAAATCAAAGAAACGCCAATTTTATTATGACAAACTGCTTCTAGTATTACGTAGCACCTCCCCTCGACGCAATACAAGCAAAAATACGTCGTGGAATTGATTCAACAAGTTTCGTTATAACGCTTTTCTATATGGCTGCCCACACTTCCTTTGAACTTTTGACAAGCTCGTTTTTCGAAGAGTGGTTTCCCACCAGTCCCTCTTTTCTGAATCCGGACAATCAGAATCACATCGGGAGACTGTGCAATCAACGAAAGAAGCTTAACCTTTTCGATCTCCAAAACCTAGCATCGTTAAATTGGCTACATGTTTGGGGTCACTGAATTTTCGGAATATAAAATTCCTTCATAGGTCAGATTTTTATCAAATAATTTCAAATTATCGTTTAGAATGATTATTTGGACCTCATTGGTCATGATTCCATCGATAATGACCAGCTACCTACGCCACGACCTAGTCATTTAACCCCAAACCATAATCGCTCCTCTTCTGTGTTTAGCTGTCATACGAACATATTCGTTTTTGTGAGCCTATTATGGCATCCGCCAGACTTGAACCATTCAATTTGCTCCGAATAAGTAAAATATGCTTATGTCAGACCAGCAGAACCTTCTTCATTCATTGGAAGTCTATTCAGGGTGGTGTTTAGTCCATTCCAATTTATTGAGTTGGTTCGTTTTGGGGACCCTCGCGTCAGTCGGGCTTCTGGACCCTGAAACCCCATGGCATGATTTTTGATTGATCACAATATTGCATGATATGTTGACGCCACAGTTGGTTCTCAAATTCAACATGGTTTTTGGGGTTAAAATCTTCCGATCTCGAGTGATAATTTGCTTGATTCATCAGTGGCTCGTGGGAGTAGGTGACTTTTTTCTTCCGCACCATGGAAAAGTAGAAACTGAGATTGTCATTTTATATTTCTTGGCTACCTATTCAATAGTAAATATGGAAAAGTATGTTTTCTCTTTGATTTTTCGATAGTAAAGCTTTTTTGTGAAAGATACATGATTATTTCTCGCCGCGCCAAGTACAGCTCGTTTGATGTCGCCATTTTGGCTCCAGACAACACAACTGTAGACTTAAAATCTAGCTAACGTCATATTTGGTCACCTAATTAACTTACCGTAATGAAATGTGGTAGCTGATTAAGAAAATTGTTTCGCGTAATTAATTTGGCCACATGTTGCCAATACTTTTTGCGGGTAAATTTTGCAAATTTTCCAACAAATTATTTAAAAACTGTGTTTATCTAATTTGAATCAATAAAACATGACTATAATCGAAAACTACATAATATTTGCTAAAGGCCTACAAATTTTCATGCCAATTGTATAATGCATTCTAACGTTACAGCAAATTTTATTTAGCTGGCGTGGGGGTTGCCAATACTTTTTCCATTGACTGTAGTATGTAAATGTTAAATATATTAAACATGCATACGTATATTGACTTATCAAAAATGCCTTAAAAATGGAAGTAGTTCTTGGATAGCATTGTTTCCAAAAATTTTACACCAAACGTTGCATTGCCCACATGACTGTAAGTGTCACGTGAAGATTTTGATACTTAATAATACTAATACATACGTACATAATCAATACTCATACATAATCAGAGAAACTATTAAGAATTAATGCCAAAATTTGCTCAAAAATATTTCAACATATGTACATACTTAGACTACTCCAAATAAAAATAAGTAAAATTTACTCAAGGTTGGGTAAAAAAGAGGATGACATAACCAAAAAGTAAAATTTCTCCAACGCACATTGTAACATTAGGCCAGGTCAAGTCCCAAAAGTCCTAGGGGGCGTAACTATGTAAATGTATACATATTTGTAATTCATGGGAGGCAGGGAAAACACTTTTTAAAAAATTTGGGGACCACACCCCCTGTGGGGGTGGTTAGCCCCCCAGGGGGTGTGGTCCAAATTTTTTTATATTTTTACAATCAGCAACTCATATGGACTTTAGGTGCAAAATTTTGTGGACTTAAAAAAATATCTGACCAAAATATACCCTTTTATATGCCAAAAAACATGGGTTTTCGGGCAACTTTGAGGGGGTGTGGCGCATTCGGTCGGGACTTCCCGACCTAGTTCTTCCGGTTCCTGATAGTCATAGTGGAGTTCTATAGGCACCATAAAAAAGTCCGTCGGGAACCACCGACCAAGGAAGTTATTAGGTGTCAAACTTCTCAAAAACCTGTTCTGCGATTTTACAAAAAAAACGACAGTTGCTCTCAACGTTTAAGAGTTTCAGTGGCATATATAATTATTCTAAGCATGTACAAGCTTAAAAAACCCTAAATTCATCAAAGTCTTACATCACCCCAAAACCTTGAAAAAAGTTTGTTACCATTTCAGTGCAAATCAATTATTTCAGGAAATAATTTTTTTGCGTTATTTTGTTTAAGCCCGCAGGGGAAATATGCGACGCCACCTATCCGTCCATACCGCTGCATGTTATGCAACGTATTCACAAGAAAGTTTTGAGGGTCATACGCTACCGACTTGGTTTTGGTCTAAAAAAAGCTCCAGAATGTTCTTCGTCTACTCCCGGCTATAAGTTGCTGAAAATGTTTGAAGTAATGTATCAAAGTTTTCAAAAAAATTAATATGCATTTCGACCAACTTTAAAAAAATGTTTATGGCCGGGATTAGAAGAAGAATATTCTGAAGCTTATTTTGAGACCAAAACCAGGTCTGTAGAGCCAGTGGGTGTGGCGCTCAAAATTTTATTGTGACCTAGGTCCTAGTTTTCATTTTTTAAACAACCGGCATTTCATCAATTGTGGATGAATTTTATTCATTGTTTTCGAAAAATGAACTGAATGAGTTACATTCTCAAACTTGTGATTGTTTTAAAGTTAAAAAAATTTAATTAGCAAACGGCAAAGGTCGCAAGGTCAAATCTCACATAGCCCCATAAATGGGGTATGGTTGGAAAGGTCTTGGCAAGAGGATTTAGAATATATATACTTTATGGGGTCTGGGACCACCCTCTGATTATTTAGAGACCGATCAGCATTATTGAGTTTTTCTCGATCTAGTGCCATGTTAGCTCTCAATCTGCTCCTGTGTTAACGTCTGTGTATCTGCAAAACTAAAACTCAAAAATGTTCACCGGCCTCTAAATAATCAGGGGGTGGTCCCAGACCCAACAAAGTATATATATTCTGAATCCTCTCATCAAGACCTTTCTCATTATACCCCATTTATGGGGCTGTGAGCCTTGATCTTGTGACCTTTGTCCTTAATGCATTCAATTTTTTGACGTTCGAAAAAATTAATAATTCTCAATGGATCTGAAAATACAACTCATTCAGATCATTTTTCAACAAAAACGATGAATATTCATCCAAGATTGTTGAAATGTCAGTGATTTAAAAAATTATTAACTTTGCAACTTTGCTCAGTCCTCTTAATTCAAAACACAGATAAGTAAATATGTAAAGGGTTCGCATTTATTTTCTTCCCAGTAAGTTTTCACTGCCCGCGCGGAGAAAAATTCAGGTACTATTTCTGAACCTGTTAATTTTGAAAATTTTACCATAAGTAGTTCAATACCATAGGTCGATCATAGAACACTGATAAAAAGTTTAGTTCTACAGCACTTCAACATTTTTTAAAAGTCTGAAAAATTTTGATGCATCCGAAAAACTGTATGACTACGGACGAGCACAAATTTTGCCATATACAAAAAACGGTCTAAGCGACGTAGTATGATGTCACCAACTATAAAAAACATTGATTAAGCTCAAGATTCACCAGGAAGAAGAAGTTGGGTACTTAATTGCTTGAAAGAGTAAAGTGACTGAAAACTAGCATCTGAATTTGTCTCCGCGCGGGCAGTGAAAACTTACTGGGGAGAAAATAAATGCGAACCTTTTACATACTTATGTATGTGCTTTGAATTAACCTCTTTTCACGTAAATACGCGATATGACGTATTTCAAAACATGTCCCTAAGAGACCAAATCCGTCATATCTCGTATCGAAAAAAAATCCGTTGTATACCAAATTCATCATATGACGTACCATGACGAATGTCCCTTGAGGACCAAATATGCCATATCACGTATTAAGGCACGAGGCATAAAAATGCAGATTTCTCAAATTTTCTCAAAATCCGAGTATTTCTTTGGTATTTTGTGGAAAACTCGATGGTAAAAAGTTGACTTTTTGGGATATTTTTCTTCACAAATTCTGGAATTTTCTCTATACCGACCAATGTTAAAAAGTGCAGTTTTCGTGATTTTCGCCAAAAAAACTCGAAACTTGGAAACTGGTATTAATAAATATTGGGATTTTACAGAAAATCATGGAAATTCAATTGGTTGCTACCAAATGTAGTTATGAATTCAATAGCGTACTCAACGGAAATTTTAATCGAGATAAATAAAGTTGAAAGAGGTTAAACAAAATGACGCTTAAAATTATTTCCTGCACACTGAAATGGTAACAAACTGTTTCCAAAGGTTCTGGGGTGATGTAAGACTTTGATGAATTTAGGGTTTTTTAAGCTTGTACATGCTTAGAATAATTATATATGCCACTGAAACTCTTAAACGTTGAGAGCAACTGTCGTTTTTTTGTAAAATCGCAGAACAGGTTTTTGAGAAGTTTGACACCTAATAACTTCCTTGGTCGGTGGTTCCCGACGGACTTTTTTATGGTGCCTATAGAACTCCACTATGACTATCAGGAACCGGAAGAACTAGGTCGGGAAGTCCCGACCGAATGCGCCACACCCCCTCAAAGTTGCCCGAAAACCCATGTTTTTTGGCATATAAAAGGGTATATTTTGGTCAGATATTTTTTTAAGTCCACAAAATTTTGCACCTAAAGTCCATATGAGTTGCTGATTGTAAAAATATAAAAAAATTTGGACCACACCCCCTGGGGGGCTAACCACCCCCACAGGGGGTGTGGTCCCCAAATTTTTTAAAAAGTGTTTTCCCTGCCTCCCATGAATTACAAATATGTATACATTTACATAGTTACGCCCCCTAGGACTTTTGGGACTTGACCTGGCCTAATATTACAATGTGCAACGTTGTGTAAAATTTTGCACAAGGGTTGTGTCATTTTATTTGGATTTTACTTATTTTAATCGAGAGGTATTTACTTATAGTATAACCTAAGTATGTGTATAATTGGAACCAAGTGACAAGAGTGGTGTTAATATACTTATGCATAGTACATCTCACCCAGCGAGACAAGATGCAAAATAATCATGACAAGTTCAAGAGACAATGCGAACCTGTGCTTATTTTAATGCTCATGGGAAATCATGAGCCTTCCTGTATCTCCTCAAATACACAAGTGGATCAAACGAACATAAATGAGGTTTTACTCATGATTTCATCGGTTCAGCAAATTCGCAGCTTCCATATAAATACGGGTCAGGTTGAAAATTCAATTCAGTTGGTGTTTTTACATATTGACAGCTAGATTTCTTTGTAATTAATAATCTTCTCAGAACCAAATATGAACGTCGGAGGGGGAATTGGTGGCGCAGCTGGTGGTGGAATTGGGTCATTTCTTGGGTCAGCTTTAACTGGAGGTAGCTCTGCCGGTGCTGCGGCGGGTGGGGCGATTGGGGGTGGTATTGGAGGGGGTGTTGGTAAGATGGTTATTCTGTGGTACAGTAAAATTAGAAATTAACTAATTTTCCGATGTACATAGGTGGATTTGCCACGGGAGGGCCGGTGGGGGCATTTACAGGCGCCATAGGCGCAGCTGCAGGGGCATCGGCTGGAGGTGCGTTTGGAAACTCAACAGCACAACAAGTCGGATATGAAGGGTGGCAAAGGGCGGGAGGGGCCGGGATAGGAGGTGCGATACCACCTATCGGAGGAGCATGTGGAGGAGACCCGCATTCTCTGCTTGGCGTTGGTGGGGGATCTTCTGTAGTTTTGGGGGGATTAATGGGTCATGGTTGTTTCAATGCGAAAGGAAAGCAAGCTTAGGTTGTAACATAACGAACTAGTTGGGTTCAAATAGGTACACATTAATTATGTCTGATGACCCTACATATATTTTGAAGTCTCAAACCTATGAAATTGTCGCGTGTTTACATTTACATTTATACATAGATTAAATGATATATGTATATATCCATAGATGCTCTTAAACATTTATTTATTCAATATTCATTCAATTTAAAAATTGGGGAAAAAACATGCAATGCTTATTCATTTATTCAAAAGTTTGGAAAATAAAAATTTAATTATTAATTATTAATTATTAGCTCGCCCTGCGTAGCACGGGAGCTATTGAATTCCTCTTGTCCGTCCGTCCGTCCGTCCGTCTGGTTGTTAACGACCTTTTTGCATCAATTGATGCTAATTAAACAGCCCCTTGACCATTATTGGATACGTTAGGCGCACCATTGGTACTCAACAAACCGAATCAAATTTTTTAACAAGTTAATAGGACCATTGATATCTAACAATCGGGAACACAAAATGATGCGAAATAATTGGAGGCAGGGACGCAAAACGCACCAATAATGCAGAATATCCGGGAGAAATGATCATACAATTTTGACATAAATTTGTCAAAATTAGCGTTACACGTTGGTAGGTAATTCTGCACCAGTGATGCACAATTTTTGGAGGCTTCTCGATGCATAATAATTCTAGATCTATTTTTGTTTAATTTTTCTGCACCATTGGTGCATAATTGCAAAAAATTATGTATCTATTTTGATGTACAACGCACCAATAGTGCAGAATCTCCGGCAGAACAACTCATACAATTTTGACAAAAAGTTTTCAAAATTATGTGGCGCTGTTGGTCGCTAATGTTGCACAGGTGGTGCAACCTACTTCGGCCACTTCTCCTTTTTCTCCTTTATATTGCACCATTAGTGCATGCATATATCAAAATTTGGATCTATTTTGTCTTTTTTATTCGTTTTTTCTGCACCATTAATGCAAACTCTAATCAAAATCATATCGCTATACCCACTTATTAGCTCATCCTGCGTAGCACGGGAGCTATTGAATTCCTCTTGTCCGTCCGTCCGTCTGTCCGTCCGTCCGTCCGTCTGTCCGTCCGTCCGTCCGTCTGTCTGTTAACGAATTTTTTGCATCAATTGATGCTAATTAAACAGCCCCTTGATCATTATTGGATAAGTTGGGCGCACCATTGGTATCGAACAATCCGATTCGCAAATGGTGGGAATTAATTGTGCAAAGAGATCGAGAAAGGACTACAATTTTGGAATAGGTAGCACCGTTAGAATCGAACAATCGGTTATGTAAAATGATGCAAAACAATTGGGGGATTAGATGCAAATCGCACTAAAACTGCAAAATAACCGATGACGTTAATTAAAATGGACCAGCTCCATTTTTGATAAATTAACAGCAACGTTGGTATCTAACAATCGGGAACCCAAAATGATGCGAAATAATTGGGGGAAGGGATGCAAAACGCACCAATAGTGCAGAATATCCGGGAGAAATAATCATACGATTTTGACATAAAACTTTCAAAAATTCATGACAAAAATCTAAATTGTGTCAAAATTAGATGCTTATTTTTTCGCCTTATCCTTCACTATTGGTGTAAAATTATATGGTTGTAATATATATGCAGAATAATCTCAGTGATTATTCTGCACCAATGGTGCAAAATTGCTTAACACTTCTGTACTTATTTTGTCGGCTTATTCAGCACCTTTGGTACAAACTTATATCAACTCGTTATTGCAGGGTGAGCTACTTCTAACGTTACTACGGTTTATTGTTCATTTTTAGTTCATTTTCATGAATCGTTCACTTTACATAATTATGAAACGAATAAACATTGATTCAAGAGAAATATATTTATTTAAATAATTTTGAAAAACTTACTTATTATTCATATTCAATAACAAATACAAAAATTATGTACCCTATATTTAATAAATGAATATGAACAGGTATTCTTATACATATGTTCCCGAGCATTTTATTATTTATATATTTATTTAACCCTTTAACGTGTATGATTAACGACAAGAAAATGCATTAAATTGGGGACCCTATAAGTATGTTGTGGTCATGGCGCGGGAGGAGAAATTCAGGAGTTTTCAATAAAACTCGAAAAACTGAAAATTCAAAAATTTAACATTGCATTGTATAGGGAAATATCCAAATTTTCGGGAAGAAAATCTTCAAATTTAGCATTGTGTTGGCATAGGAGAAATCCCTCAAAATTGCAACAAATTTTAGATCGCGCGGAGTGAAAATGGTGAAAATCAATGACCTCGTAGAAACGACAATTGTCGTCCTTCCGCGCCATGACCACGGTTTTTCAGGACGACTTTTGTCGTACTCCCGAATTAAACCATTCATTATAAAACGACAATTGTCGTCGTTACAGTTTAAAGGGTTAATTAAAAAAAGTGAATTATAGGCTGATAACATTGGGTCACACCCCTCAAGGTCAAATATGTCACAAAATGTCAAACTGCATATGTACATATATATGTAAACTCTATAACAAATTTAACCCTGCATATAATGCTGACTATGCTGGTATCCAATTAAGGTTGACTTGAGAGAGAGAACAAGATTCCTTTCCAAACATGCAAGTTATCAAGAAATAAGTCATGACAGAAACATGTAAGATAGACTTATAAATAACCAACTTTTTAACCAACGCTGAAAAATTTATTAACGGTAAAATCCAACCTAATTATGTACATAAGTGCATCTTTTCAAAAACTTAACAGTAATTTAAACACCCAAAAGAGCAGGACAAGTATGAACAAATGGTACCCAAATTCTTTTGGGGTCTCGATGGCGTAGAAGAAACGCGTCCCCGGAAGTGGAATTCGGAGGAAGCAGTTTCTCACGGCAGCCACGCTTTCCTCGAGTATTCTTGCCGTCGTCACTTCGTCTTCGAATCTTCGCAGCTGAACGTGCACTTTCCTGTCCTCCTGATCTAACAATTGGTCCACCGCTTGATCCTTACTTGCCTCCACGTTCTTCAGCACCTTTTCAATCTTATCTCCATATTTTTGGAATTTGGGATCCTTCGTCCGCTTCCGCAGCGTCGCCTCGACTTCACAAAAGTCGTCGAATAACTGGTGCCCTTTCGAAATGTTGGTGTTCAACACGGTCTCGACGGTATTCAAAGTCTCGATTGGGTCCAGGGGTTGTTCGACGAGAGACATTCTAAATTTAGAAAAAAATGTGTGCTTACATACATATTTACAGATAATAATACAGATTACATATAATAAGTTTAATATCGGGGACATGCTCCTTGTAATGCTGATTTTTTTAACGAAATTTCTTTTAGGTTCGATGTTGATTTGATAATTACACATGATAGCAATCCATTAAAATTGTCATGATTTCATGATTTCCTATAAATGACGGAATATTTATCTCAATACTTTTCAAATTTTCGAGTCTTTTTTACGAGAAGCACGAAGAAATTCACTTTTTGCATTCGCCCGTATGGGGGAAAATCCAATATTACATGAAAATGGAAATGTTTTTTTAATCAACTTTTTACCATTCCACAAAATATCCTTGTATATTGTTGAATAAATGCATAAATTACATAGACCATAATACATATTACGGTCTATGCAATTTGTGCAAAATGTACGTTAATGTATTTCGTCCTCCAAGGAAATAAAATTATTAGGCATATACATATGTACTTGGTACACATATCTGCGGTTTAATGACTAAAAATATATGTGAAAAAGACTTACTTACTTTTGGATTTATGTATGTATCTGTTACAGATTTATGAACAATGGATAAGTTTTGATAAGCTGGTTCCTATTTAGTAGCTGCTGTGGGTCTGGAGTGAAGTGTAAGATTAATTTTCGTCAAAATCTCCTTTATATCAGAGAGGAATTATTTGCACAAGATTGTGAATGAGTTGCGTACGAAAATGGAAGGAATTTCGGAAGTCGGAAATGTGTGTAATTAAAACAAGGAAGAAGCTACCTTGTTTACTGGCGTACTTTTGGTCAGGAAATCTTTCACGACCGGGTCAAATAAATACATACATTTGTGAATTATTATTGACCAAGCAGTATTTAGTTCAGCAGTTACAATTTGGGTTCGGATACGTGTATATTTTTGTTTGTTGAATTTCCCTGAAGCTTATGTGTACACTCTAAATAATTTTTTGATGATATTGTTACCGGCGGAGGTACTATGCAACTCTACCGCTCCGGTAATAACTTATCACCGAAGGGTAACATATATACAGAGGCTAAATCCTGCTCCGTCCCCAATGTCAACGCTCAGGTAATAAAAATATTACCGATACCGGAGGCAATTTCTTACCCACAGAAGACAATTTGTTACTATAGTGTTACCACACGGTAGAATTGCATAGTATCTCCGCCGGTAACAATATTGTCAAAAAATTATTGAGAGTGTATCTTTACATATTTGTTTTCACTCTCCACTTTAATGTAAATATGTAAAAGTTTATGGAACGTTCTAATAGATTGAAGTTATTTGTGCATCCTTCTTCTTAATATTTACATACCTGATTCCTCATTTCCGGAGTAATCGTAGTGAAAAACAAATCACAGAAATGTACACACATAAATAAGTATTTTTTGAAGTGTCGAGACAAAATTTGTATATGCATACGTATGCATATTTTGTTATCAGTCCGGATATCCAAGCTACGTTAATATTTGCATGGCATGGCAGGACAGCCACTTAATTTTGCATGTGGCTATTTATCATGTATCGTTCATAAACATGTATATGTTTTGCATCTTTATCACAAATACTTTTTACTTGATTTTATTTATCATAGTAAATAAAATACGACAAATGGTTAATTTTACACAAACTATTTCTCCTTCCTGCATAGATTAAAGGTGTAACAAAATTGAAATCATTTATCATCTCCAGCTCAGATTAATTCTCTTCTTCGTAGCCTGAGATATATTTTATCACCTGTTCTCAATTAAGAAATATATAATTTTTTAAAAATAAACTTAACTCTTTTCCAAGATGGCAAACCACCACGAATTATATGACAGATTGAACGTTTCCATTGACTCATCCCCCGAGCAAATTCGGTCCACGTTTCATCGGTTATCGAGACAATGCCATCCCGATCGGTTAGGAAGCCAGGATTTATCTGAGGACGAGAGAAATGCTAGATTGCAAGAGGTACGAAAATATCTTGATAACATTGTAAAATCCTTAAATTCTGTCAAATTACTACATTTTGTAAGAAGGAAAATTAGCTTACAAATTTTCGGAACTTACATACTTACTCAGATCAGAGGCGTCTTATAATTTTTGCAAAATGCACTGATTTTTCAAGTTAGCAGTGACTGTGTGAATTTACTCGTTGAATTTTCCCCAATTCGCCAATTTGTTTACTCTGTACGTATTTTTACTAGTTTTTTTTTAATTCGCAAAAGTTTCTAAAATTATTTTAAACTAGAAGATTTCACAAAGCTACCGCATATGAATCGTGTGATTATAATTTTGGTAGAGTTTGTAAACCAGATTTAAAAAAAAGTACTTCTTACTTATTTTTCACAGTACAACAACATCACAGAAGCGCACCGCATTCTATCCAACCCGGAAACCAGAGTTTTATACGATAGCCAAGGGCTGGATGGGATTCGACGCGTTGGAGACAGAGTGCATGGCAGAAATTTCACAAATTTTAAAGCTGGAAATTACGCTACCAACTTGACATCAACACGACTTCCAAGCCATTTCATTTTATTATTTGGCGTAATATGTGTCCTTCTAATTTCTTACCTTATTCCACTCCGGAATACAAAATTTGTTCCAAATCCAATAATCCCACGAGATATGGATTTGTATGACAGATTCGATAAATTGCTGATAAATTTAAAGAGGCTTAAAACGCAAAATTTTGAATTGTCAGGTAAATTAGCCGATTTGGAGAATCAGGTCGCTGTCCGTGAGAAAAGTGAGCAGATAATGAATAATACTATTGCAACTTTACATCGATTGGTTGGAAACTTAGAAAATCACCTCACGCGTATTAGCAGAAGTAGCGAGAATTGTGAAGTTACTTTAAACCTGCTTAAAGAAGAAGTTCAGACTTTTAAGACAAATTTAGAACCTAAGAATAGTACAACATGGACGATTGGTTCTTTTCTTGGGTTCTAATTTTTCTCTATTGTTAGAAATCTGGTATAGTCAGACAGGTATTGGTTTCTCGGTGTTAAAGTTTATACCGCAGGGTCGTATACCGGTCCGTAAAAATGTCCTACGGATATGGTAAAACGTTAATACCGAGCTATTGTTACAGCTGATTGCTTATCAACACTACTTATACATAATGTGTGAATGCCGTTTGATATTAGTGTAATACTGGATTTCTTATAGTGCAGATTTATGTATCTGTATAGTCTTACATTAATCAGGAATCCACATGAGTTGTACTAAATTTATACATAATTTATATGTAGTGCATGAAGTCATTACAAATAAATTTATGCGGAGCTACTCTGCATTTTCATTTGTAATTAATTTCCATTAATTTAATGTTATGCACGCTGGTCCGGAATATGGAATTTCTTGGCCAAAACCTATTCTCACCGATTCGAAAACAAAGTACCCCCTTCAGTACCTTTGACATAGATGTTCAATTTTGGAAAATTTCATTTGAATTGTTCAAGTGGTTATGGCGTGGTGTATGCCTAAACTTGCCTTATAACATTGGGCTAAATGGGAAAAACTTAAAGTTGAAATTCCTGTCTATTCCTGTGCTATTTCGAGGAACCGTATATGTATTATTAATCCCCCATATCTCATCTACAAAAACTGCTGCCACCAGCTGCCACCATTACAAATAGGCAGAGAGATTTGAATTTATGTAATTGCAAATTGCCACAATCAAAATATCTGGAGTGCTCCAATCATTGTCACGTATGAAATTTTTGATTGTTCCTAATAATACAATCGCTTCAAAATATCTTGCCCATTCCTTGGCGAAGGAAATATGATAACACAAACCCCTCTAAAAAATTTATTGCGAGCGGGGGGATTTTATGAAGTGGTGACCCCCCAGAGGAGGCATAACTAAATTTATAATTTTTGTCTTATTTTCTTTGTTAATTCAGTTAGAGGGAAGAAATACTTCATAAAACTATAGAATATTGCCATTTCATGAAAACGCATCCTCAAAATTACCGAAATAAAACTTTCAAATTCGGATTTTGACCACACCCCCTGGCTGTGGGTGTGCCGATAATATCCCAATAATAGCCGGGGTTGTTTAGAGGTTGATTAGACCTTTCAAATGACACCCCACTTGATGGGGTAATGCGAGAAAATAAATATTGACCTGTGACCACACCCCCAAGAGGGGGTGGTGGTCAACTAAAGTTGCATTACTTATTTCCCTTGGAACTTCATATCTAAATTGCCCAAGGCAGATTTCGAAAAAATGGAATAGTTCGAGAGCTAGAGGTTTTGGCAAACAAATAAACATGATTTTTGTACATAGGTAAGTACAACATAAGAGAAGTGTCTTGCACATAACATCTCCTGCAGGATAGGGTTATGAAAATATGCATTTGTAGGTAATTATGTTCCTATAAATATTAAAAGCTTGAAAATGCGAAAAAATAATCGTGCATCATGCAATTTCACACAATAGAATAATTATGTGGGCATTTTTATATCGAACGTTTAGAGCGATGAATTAATATCAGTTTTGAAATTAAGAAATTGGCTAGGGTCAACAAACATGATAAAATTGTCACACATTTGTGTGAATATTGAGTAGCGATTAGAATTACGTACTCAATTCGAAGCATACATACACATAATCCTATGAATAAAATCGGTTTCATACCGATTAATCAATTGATGTCGAACCTCATCTATTCATCCATAACGTTGGAATATTTGGCGTATTCAAGTATTCATGGCAATTTTATGTGCATTTGGATCTCGCAAATAAACTAACATATTTAACTGGCGAAGCTTCACTCACTTTTTACTCGAAAATTATGAGCAAAAAAATGTTATCAACGTTAGCCAGGAAATTTAGATCCTTTTACAAACTTATTTACATTACAGCAAGATTTGTTGGGTATTATATACTTAACGAGCTGCGATGCGAAATAAATAACACGTCGACGTGAATACGCCTATTTCTTTATTTACTAAATATTTTACACATTAATTGAAAAGGTTAAGATATTTTAGAATTGTAAAACTTCCAATAAATATGAATGTATGCTTTGACCGTTTGGTCATCTCATGCACTTTCTACGGAACAATAGCATTACATACAGCTTTAGATGTTGTAACCTGCATAAGTGTATTATATTACGCAAAAATATTAATCATGCAAATTTAGACATCGCTAGAATTTCTCCTTTATTGAAAATTTGGATTTTTACACCCGGTTAAAAAGTCTGGTGGCCCTGGCGCCGTTCGCCGTTAAATGGACAGCCATTTCCTTCTTTGTAAATGTCCGAATGGTGTGTCGCTTTGGGCTCTGACTTCCCGGATTTTGCAAAGTTTGCACGTGGATAAGCGAAGTACCCTCCCGAACTACGACGGACTATTGAAATTTTAAGAAAAAAGTCCAAGTTTATTTTCAAAAGGAGAAACTAATATTTCAAAATCGCTATATGTATTCAATAAATACGGAAATACATCGGCAGTCAATCCATCCGCAGTCATTTCTGAGAAGGGCTCATTGAGACGGAACTTGTTCGTCACGGTGCCCACACTGGTCACGATTTCCACCGTGTAGCGTCCGTCATCCTCAGAAATTGTGACCGTCATGTATGAAGCCAGAATTGCTTTGCGTTGAAACCAGCCAAAATCTAAAATGAAGAAGGGAGCTTACGATTAGTATTATTACTCATTCAAGATAACGCCCCGCTGGGCATCCAACTTGGATGCCCTTTGTTAAATAACAAAGGCTTATTTAACTACTTAATTAATTACAGTAGTTTTCAAACGAACAATGGAGGCCCCATTAGATTTTGACCGAGCTTGTGTCAATCGATCAGAAACTTAATTCATTAAAAATTAGCAAAATGCATTGCCAATACAAAAGTTTGGTACAGAGACATCTGCATCCGACAAGGAGGAAACACGCATGACATTAGGAAAGCGTAAAATTTGCAAGCTTTTGGGCGCTTTTTCTCCTCATGGGTTGCAAGAATTTCTGGCAAACCTGAGCCTTGGCACAAAGTTCTTTTGGCAATTTTACATTAATTTATTAATTAATTAATTTGTTAATTTGTTAAGGATTGCAAATAATTTGGCCAAATTCTGTGAGAATACACTAAGAAATCTGTATCGTAAGTGTTGAGAAAGCAAAATTACTCTCCTGAGAAAGTATAACATTCCATTCAAATCCAATACTAAAACATTTTTGGCAGTAAGTACGTACCTGTGGCGATTAAAATGTCTTCGTACCCCCCATTGTCTACAAGCTCATATTTTCCAACAATCGGAATAGTACTATAGTCACCGAAATAATCTTTCGATTGCACATAGTTTCCCCGATAATAGTGAACCGCGAGATGGCGGGCATCTTCAAACGGGAGGTTTGCATGCATTCGGCCATCCACAAAAAAGAAGCGTGGCTTCACCTCGTCCTTGGTGGCAATATGTACCGCCGAATTCAAACTGGACTTGGCCAGCTCGACAAAAAAAGCGACCGTCTCGGTATACAGTTGGGACGGCTTTAAGAGGTCATTATCCCTCCCACAAATTAAGATGTACGTGCGTCCAAAGCCTTTGGATTCTTGTGCTGCGGTATCGATCGATTTCCCGGGCTCCAAAAATTCAATTTTATTCGCAATAAATAGTTTCGCTCGTGACAAGTAGTAGCCTATTCCATGGCCCCGATTAGTCACAAATTCTTCCGCTTTCCTAAACTCGTCACAATTTTGAATTGCGTACTTGCTCCGGAGCTTCTCCAACTCTTCAATTGACGAAGCACCCTTTTGAACGGCTAGGAAGGTAGTTTTTAGTTCGATCTTGATTACATGATTCCTGCAAGGCCTCATTGATCATATCCGCAGTTTTCTTATCTGTATCCGATAACCACCCTTTAAGTACGTCCATCTCATCCAGAAAGTCGGTCATGACCTCCTTCAAATTCTTGATCTTATCAAACACTGCGACAAAACTTTCGACAATATCCTTGTCGATCTGAATCCAGAGGAAATTTGACTTCCGAACATTGAAGATGTTTTGAACCACGCTAATCGGAATTAACCCATACATAACGGGTCGTCCCTTTCCTTGATTAGATTCTTGCAAAAGGGTAGAAATATTAGACATCAAGTTTTGCACTTGATCCCACCCGGTCCCAGATTTTGGCATGATATCGCCATACAACTTGACGGAGTATGACTTTAATTGATTGTCGATTTTGACCTCATTGTCTCGCGCCACCTTGGCTCCGACGTCAAGTTGGGAAAATAATTTGCTCAGCTGTCCGTCCAATTTCAATTTTGACTCCGACTGGTTCCCATCACTTTCCGTGTTGTCTTCAATACTGACGACGACCTTAGCGCCCCAATCGATCCGCACGACAATGTGGGTCGCGCCACATTCCTCGTCCGACGCGGAGAGGAGGGCCTGCTCGGAAATGCAGGATTGTAGCTGCTCATCGTAAATTTTTAATAGCTCGACCTTCGTCCTTATCGAGTACATCATGGTGCTTCGAGTGATCTTGGTGGAAGAAGATTCGTTCGACAGGAGTTTTCCGGAACCTTCGACACTGCCGAGGAGCCCGGATAGCATTTTTATTGTCATGCCGGCAGTTAAGTTGTAGCGTTTGACTTTGTCAGCGAAGGATTCCGTGTTGACGTGCTTAACATCAGTTTCTGGGGAGCCGGTGGAATCAATCGAGCTCGGAGGTGGGGGATGTTTGAAGATAGAAATGTTGAGAAAAGTGTCGTTTCGAGCATCGTAGAGGTCACCGAGGGACGCCTGCTGCCCAAGGCGGCACGATCAATGACATCCTTGAGCTGGTCCATGTTTGCCTGGAAAATTATGTGAGTTGGAATTACATTGTATTATGTTAGTAAACGTGCTATTAAATACAGTACAATACTAAGTAAATGTATTATTATATATATATATAAATGTACTATTAATACCCAGTAATTGACTATCTAACATAATCGAAACAAGGTTAATCTGCATTGTTACACTCGACGTATGAAAGTCCAATCTTGTTATTGAATAATCATCACATCACCTATTTACGCATTACAGCAACGTGATCTTTTTGTCCACGTCAACTTCGATCATATTCGCATTAAATTAATCAATGGCAAATGGCAAACGAAATGCTTCAGTGGATTTGGTGGAGGTGAGTATTTTGTTTTGCAAGATAAGGTGTTATGACACAGGGGAAATGGATGATGGACGATTTTATGCTTGTAACATGACTAGATCAAACCCGCAACAAACAAGGTCAATTTTCAATTTTGAAATAATATTATGTACGTTGGTAACCTTGTTTTACATATATTTAAATCATACATCCCAATTACAAAATTTCTTGAGGTATGCATGGACAAAATATATTTTAATTTAATCAACTCGACTCACTAGAATTGTAATTGAATACGTTAAAAAGTTTTATAATGAGGGTATTCTTTATTTTCTCGTATCCTTAATATTCCTCGTATCGTAAAATAACTTACGACGCTTACGAGATTTTGTAAGCGTCGTAAGATTTTGTCATCGAAAATCGCGTTATTACGCTTACGATTTTTACGAAATCTGACCCCTTGTTTTATCTTCGTAAACTATTTTACGAAACTAAGGCTACGAAGAAATAATGAATACCCTCAACATAAAGTCTTAAAGACGTACCATTCTTTGCAGATAATAGTTTCGCCGTTTTAGTTGCAGGAAACAGTTCGAAGAATACCTCGGGAAAATAAAAACAATTAGCTCCGCACAATGCTGGCTCGGCAATGCTGGAGAGAACTATGGAACGATTTAATATCCTGAAAGAATTTGTTTATGCATTTTGCAGATATGTACCGCTTGATTAAATATACATACATACACATTGCCGATATATTGAGTGGCCAGATAAGATAACACATTAGTTGTGAGCAATGTACGTGTACTCTTAGCAACCAAGTCTTTGTGTGAATGGAGAGTACGCGGGGTGAAGCAAATTTGCGGCACCATGTAGCATCCAGAGTGGACATGAAAAAACAAATTGAAATCTCGGCATATTGTAGAAAATATTAATTAAAAAATATTTTCTCTATACAATTTTTCGAAATCTTTCGTTCCTGACCTTTTATTAAGGGGTCAAACCCCCTCCGTCCGCATTATGATTTCTTGAGAACGGATGCGAATTTCGACATGCGGTGTTCACCAAAAGCGCTAAGAATTCGTCGGGACGCTGACGGTGAAAACGACATGTAGAAATTCGCATCCGTTCTCAAGAAATCATAATGCGGACGGAGGGGGTTTGACCCCTTAATAAAAGGTCAGGAACGAAAGATTTCGAAAAATTGTATAGAGAAAATATTTTTTAATTAATATTTTCTACAACATGCCGAGATTTCAATTTGGTTTTTCATGTCCATTCTGGATGCTACATGGTGCCGCAAATTTGCTTCACCCCGCGTACTCCCCATTCACACAAAGAGTTGGTTGCTAATAGTACATATGCATGTAATCGTATCTAAGAAGCAATGCCCTAAATACATATATAAGTACACTCTTAGGCAAATGGTATTGAATTTTTGCGAACCATTACCAGACGGAGTACATATGTGACTCTACAGGCATTGGTAATCGATCGTTACGGCGTAGTAATGTGGTGGTAATGAAATCGTTACCACTCAGAATCAAACTCTAACCTAATCGGTAAGGAATTACTACCAAATCAATACGAGTATGGAGTATATATGTGACTCTACCGGATGCTTTACAGTGTAAATTTAATGATGCACTCTAAATAAATTTGATTTACATTTCCTCAAGTTTGATTAAAAGCCGTGATGACATTAGATAGATATATGTAGTACAAATAGTTTTGTAAAATTTCCCCTATCAAGAATAAGATTTTATCTTTAAGATTTGTAGGATTTTCGCTTCACTTTAAGTAAATTTTACCTTCGTTGGTTAAATTTAGCAGAACCAATTCTGCCATTGCAAATTTTACTCAAGTTTAATTAGAATGTGGGTAATACCAACGTCGCGATAAGTATGCATACTCCATGATTATTTCAGCGCTGATCTTATTTGCATATTTTATAGTAAATATGTTAACATATGAATATTTAGTTCATTGTAGTCAACATTGACTCATTAATATATTACGTTGTCAAAATAGTAGGTGTGTGTTTGCCGAATTAATGATGGTTCTTAACTTGATGGGTGGCCGGGTTTTATATTGGTTACATTAACACGTTTTGGATTATTAACCGGATCAGTCAGCATAACATTTCGATATTTCTCTTCGAGAGAAATATAAAAATTTTCCTAAGATTACCAAAAATTAAGAAGCTACCACTATGTAAATACATACCTATTTAAATATACAATTGTATATTTAAATACCGTAAAAACCCAAATAGTAGCCTTGCTCAAATAGTAGCCGGGTCCCAGACACCGATTTTGTAAATAGTATAGCCCCCGGCTACTATTTGACTTTTTACGGTATTTAGGTAAATATACAAATGTACAAAGGCAGCCTTGCTCTACATATGTACATATATCTTGACTTACAACAAAACTTCTATTTCGAACCCACCAACAAATTAACGACATTGGCTGACACATGATTCAACACTGTGAACAGGACACCCCTGTCAATAAAACAAAACGATCCCACCAACCTAAGCCTTATTGGGGACAGAGAATTTCCCACCCTTCTGGTCAAGCTCTTTCTAAGAGTGCCATTACAAATTTGTCTCCGAAATTGTAAACCTGCCTCTTCCAGCTTGGCCATATATTCGCACTCGACATACAATAAACTCAGAGTGGTAAAGACCAAGACGGGAACAAGGAAGAAGTCCGGATATCCGATTTCAGTATGGTGACGAATCGTCAAGACGGATCCGATCGTCGTAACCAGAACGGCCGACGCTAGATGGCTCGCGATCCACAAATTGTTCAGGAAACCATTCAACGTCGCGTTTATAACTTGTTGATACTTGTAAAGCGCTGCCACCTGTTCGATCGACAAGGGTCCGAAGCACGTGTCACAAGTTTGGTAATGTACTCTTGTCGGGGTGATCAGCTTTAACCAAACGATGGTTGAGCAGATGCAGAGAGAACCAAAGATGACCAGGTTTGTCGCATGGGCCACGATTTGAAACACGAAGTACAGGAAAATCAGCGTAACTGGGATGAACCTTGGTTCAAAGAGAATTTCAATTTCGAAAACGTTCAGAAAAAATCGATGCGTGGGTTCCACCTCGTTGAAGAAGAGATACCCAAAGCCAGGAAGTACGATAAACATGGCTCCCATGAGCGAAACGTGTAGGCTCATGTAGAGAATTTGGTAGGTGTGGATGTAGGCAGGAATAGGTTTCCGAATTTGTGGGATAAGTGCTTCTGAAATTAATAGGCATTTAAATAATTTAATAAAGTATGTACATATTTATGCACAGAGTAAATATGCTTTTGGAAGTCTATATACTTAGCAAAACGAGGAGAAATGGGGAGCCCACATGACTTAACCAAATTGTGATAATATTTTACCCCACATTGTGATAAATCTTCCCCCCAATGTATTAAATCCTCACTAACCAGTGTTACGCTTACACATTGTGGGGAACATTTATCACAATGTGGGGTAAAATATTATCATAATTTGGTTAAGTCATGTGGGCTCCCCGTTTTACTAAGAGCGTAGTAAGACAGTGCAAAGCGGTATTCATATATCATATCACTGTCAAAGTGATATTGGTCCTTGTGAAAGAAATCGCGTGTAGTAATAACTCGGTATTAAAGTTTTACCAGGAAACTCATTGAATTTTTGAAAAGCCAATTAAACCAAGAATGAGAAAAAAGTTGCGAGCTGGCCGGAATCGAACCGGCAACCTTTCGTTCTGATCACTACCGGGTAACCACTTTCCCCACAAAGCCCTGTGAATGGCTGATGCTTAATTCTCACACTTGGCTGATGCGTATTTTTTTTAAATTTTAAAATTTTAAAATAATCACAGGGCTTTGTGGGGAAAGTGGTAACCCGGTAGTGATCAGAACGAAAGGTTGCCGGTTCGATTCCGGCCAGCTCGCAACTTTTTTCTCATTCTTGGTTTAATTGGCTTTTCAAAAATTCAATGAGTTTCCTTCTCATCTTCCTCAATTAAAGTTTTACCATACCGCTAGCAAATTTTTACCTGCTGGTATAATTTCAATACCAAGCTATAGTAACTTTACTGAAGTCCCTTTAAGCATGCGGAAGTCTATAAAGGGTCACCCTGGATCTGTCGGGGCGAATTGCCTGGAGAAAGCAAATCTCTGTTTTTTTACCGCAAGGGGTCAAAATTTTAGGCAAGAATTATTTTCAGAGTGTCCCAAAAACGGACCTAAAAAACCTATACTAGGAGTAATATATTTCTCCAAGTCTAGGTTTTTTAATTTTGTAAAAATTCGAATAAACTGACACAACCTGTATTAGCATCGAATTAATCCCGAAGCAACACTCCCCCATATAATACAAAAAAACCTTGATATAGGTATGTATGTATGTACTAACTGGTCAAGTTGTCGTCAAGGAGGTGCAATTGATTGACCGCTAGGACGAAAACGTCTCTCTGTAGGAGATATGGGGTCGTCAATGCGATTGAAGTCACGAGTAGGCCATGGTGCAGAATATCGACCAATCTGTAGAGTATATTGAATTCTTCGTCATCATTTTCCGACTGGTTCAGTTTGTCCCAAAGAATAACGAATTCGGCTGCAGCATAGCAACTAAATCCTAGAAACCAGAGACATGTCAAATAGTAATTGTAAAGCCCGGAAATATAAAGTTTCTGACGCTTCTTAACCCATTGAACGGGCGTGGAGAAACCGAGAGATGTAATGAAGAAGGAAAACCCAATTAATAGCTTTATTTTGGGAGTAATCATTGCTGGAAATCTGTCCAAAGCAAGAAAAATAAATATTTGTCAAGCTAAACTGGTGCTCAATGTGCTATTATTTCGGTAGTGATACGTACGTATGTATGGTTGTGGAGTTGGCATAATACTAAATTATTTATGTATCTATATGCAATTTATTTTGCATACATAAATCTGGAACCAAATAATGAATTATTTTTGCATATGATAAAATTGACTTCTTTATTTATATATAATTATTTGACACGCCTTTTCCATGTTTCCTTTTCTTATGTGTGCATATCTTTGGTAACGGTTATTTCCTGTGTGGAACGAAAAATACAGTTGAATTATTATGTGTACCTACGTACATATATAAATCTATCGAGAAATCAGTAGGAAGGATCATCGATTGAATAATATTGCTAAGTAAATACTGATATATTTATGAGATATTTATTTGAATCAGACTGATCAAGTATGAAGTATTAAAGTTTGAAGGGCAAGTTTCGTGAAAACATATATATCTTGCTTTGGCTAAATAGATAACTGTATCTTGAATTATTACTTTACTAAAATATGTATGTAGATATATTTATACGTATGCATATGGTCAGGGGTGATCCATAAATTATGTAACGCAAAAATTACGATTTTCTAGACTCCCCTGCCCCCCTTTACCATGTGTCACATAGGCACGATATCATTGGAGCTTTAGACCCCCCTCCCCCCTCTCGCGTGACATAATTTATGGACGGTCCCTCAGGTCAGAGTTTGAAAAATGCGTTCCAGATCTATGTGTAGAATGAATTTCCCCAGGGTATGATACATGAAATAGTATCTAAGATATGCATTTTATTAGAACTAATTTAGAGGATTTGAAATCAAATAAAAATAACGTTAATCAAAGTACATAGCTAAATAAATTCGAACCAGAAAGTACGTAATAGGCACAATAAATTACTGTAGTTAAATAATTCGTTTGTTATTACGTGATCAAAATCGCTATAAATTTTATACGTTTAGGTAAAGATTTAGTTAATACTATGCCGGAACGAAAACATTGGAACGGTTTTTCATATTTTTGTAATATTTAGTGCAGGTGTAATAATAGTGTAATATTTAGTATATGTAGTACTTATGATATGAAAATAAGACTAGCATCCAGCCTGCGTGCAGACACAGTAACAGGGATGAGATATACAACTGTAGCATCTGTACCCCTCCCAGAAGCAAAAGTTGCTGCATCCCGCGTGGCTATATCCCCCACAGTAGGTACATTTCGGGGCAATTTGATTCTTCTGTAACGAAACAATTGTTCCGTCCTCATCCGGAGTGCCCCTAACTCGTTCGATCCCAACAGAATTGTCGTCCGGGGTTGCGACAGAAAAGTCGGAGGCCAGGCAGGCGGAGAAGTTCTACAAAACAGATGAAATTATACACACTTAGAATACTCGTATTTAATCATTACTGACCGTGGTACGTATGTGACATCGTTTACTGTTTGTTCGAAACAAATTCGGACAAGAAAACTAATAGCTTATCTGGCAGGTTTATTGACAAGGCACCAACAAAATTTACATTTACTGATAGAAATATTTGCGGACTTTTACCAGCTTTTTAATGAACAGTACTAATACTAATGTTGTGGTAATGACAAATTTTCCAGTCAGAATTAAGTTATTACCAACTCAATACCAGTACGATGTACATAGATTTGTCACTCTACCAGATTTTTAACAGCGTAAAAATGTTCAAAAATTCGAATTTAAAAACTTACCAAGGCAATGATAGCGCCCAACAAAAAGAATGAAACGGCTTTGTATCCCATTTTGCAAATAAGATTGAATGTTTTTACGGTTTATGCAGGCAGATACTTTTTGAACCTTGTCTAGTATGAGTTTGAAGTGTGAATGATTTCAGAATTTACAAATCAATTCTTTATATATCCAACATAATCCTGCAATTATTAGATTAATCACTCTTTATTTACGTGTGTTTTGCGAGAAATATGTATGTGTGTCAGGAAATGAGGATGTGAATGATTTTCTTTTGTTTACTGTGACGCAAGGTTTATTCTGTTAAAAAGTAATTTTCCTGGGATTGTGACTCATTTGTTGTTCCGTGATAAGCTCAATGGTTTCAAAGGTACATAGATACATAATTGCCCAGTATGATTATTAGTGGATGACAGTCTGCTTAATGTTTTATGCGATTTTTATGATTGTTAAACACTGCCAATTCGTTAACCTCTAGTTGAATGACAAGTTCATGTTTTCAACTTGGAGTACATAAACCGAAGTTTTAAAGGAAAAGCGAGGAAAAAGCTTACCTTATTTGGCAATATTTGAAATGTTATCTGCAATTAATTATCAACACATGCATATATACAACAATACACGAGATGAAAATCTTCTTCTTTTGAAATGTTGAAACGCACTTTAGTTGAAACGCACTTTTAGTTTCAGTTATTTCGAGCAAGAACGATATCTATGGATCATTATCATCGTAATTGTACAGATATTTACATATGCGTTACATACGCTCCTCCTGTCCTACATATATTGCGTTAATTATTTAATATTACTCATCAATTTTCTAGCTAATAATTATGTAGGTGGGTGGGCGGTGGTCAGATTATGTTTGTGTGTGTATTTACGTGTGTAATGGTATCTGGAACGGATAAGCCTAATTTACAGCGTCAATCCTTATCTGCAATTTATTGATGGAAAACAATTAGCTGTACATGCAAACGTTAGTGTTACAGGGATATCAGGAAGCAACAAGGGAGCTATAATCTCTGAAAAACGTGTTGTTTATTAAATAGGTAAATAAATTTCATGTCAAAGCAAACCAAATCAAATCCGTCACATCCTCATATTTTCAATTTCTCGAACAATGCACGTGTAGATAAACAGCAATTCATCGAATAATTCATGGATCATGCTGGATATATAAAGCACACGTTTCCAAACGTTTAAATCATTCACACTTCAAACTCATACTTAACAAGGTTCGAAAAAAAGTATCTGCTTAAACTATTAAAAACATTTCATTTCTTTACTTACAAAATGGGATACAAAATCGTTTCTATCTTTCTGTTGGGTGCCATCGTTGCATTGGTAAAGTGGAAAAATTCAAATTTTTGAACATTTTTGAAACTTTAAACTATTTTGCAGAACTTCTCGACCTGCCTAGCCTCCGACTTTTCTGTCGCTAGCCCGGACGACAATTCCATGGGGATCGAACGAGTAAGGGGCACTCCAGATGAAGATGGCACAATCGTTTCCCTCCAAAAGGATCAAATTGCCCCGAAATGTACCTACTGTGGGGGATATAGCCACGCGGGATGTAGCAACTTTTGTTTCTGGGAGGGGTACAGATGCTACAGTTGTATCTCTCATCCCTGTTACTGTGTCTGCACACAGGCTGGATGTTAAACAATTTTAGCTACATAACTACACAAGTAGCTACAGGATCTTGATTTGAATTAATAATACGTATTACTATTTCTTAAAACTTCTTACGTACTCTCCCATTCTAAGCTTTATGTCGTGATCAAAATAAATATGGAATTAATTTGTGAAAATTTTATTCGGAAAAGCTAGAGCATATGTACATATGTACGTACACACATCTAAATACATAAATATGCAGATAAATCTTTTGACTTTTGTATATTTTCGAAGCGGCCAAACATGCGTAATGATAGCAAAGAACAGTGGTCATGCTATGTAGCAGCGGTCCGCGTATAACATTCTGAGAGGTATGTATATGTACATACATACATAAATACGTTTGTACTATACACTATTACCAAAATGGTATTGAATGATTACCGATAGCAGTGCGCCAGTGCATATATGACTTCATAAGTAACGCGCATTACCGTATAGTACTGAAGTCTACGGTTGTGGTAACAAAAATTTACAACGCAGAAACAAATTGTTACCAATCCAGGAGGAAGTTCTTCCAAAATGTTTACCAGCACGGAGTGTATGTACATACGTACATACGTACTTACATATTTACATACATACCGTAAAACCTCTATTTATAGCCGGGGCTAAAATCCAAAACTGAGGGTGACGGACCCGGCTAAAATTAGAGAACGGCTATAATTAGAGACCCGGCTAAATTTTATTCCACCTAAAATTTCAGATGTTACAAAATCAAATATAATTCATGCTGACTCAGTTTGAGTTTTATAATTTAGCAAGATAAGCCATAAGTAACCCATTCAATTTTAATCTACATCTTGACACGAAGTTTAGCAGGTTTTTTAAATTTTCTCTCGTGATTATATCCATTATTAACCTGAAATTAATACGAAAAAATTAGTAGTTCAACTTATTCGTTGATTGGCATAATGTGCAACATTTTTCTTTAACGGACTATGAACAGGGATACAGAGGACAAGACAGGTCATAATTAGAGACCCGGCCATAATTGGGGACCCGGCTATAATTAGAGACCCGGCTAAAATTTTGAAATCTTGGTCTCTAGACCCGGCTATATTTGGAGACCGGCTATAATTAGAAGAGGGCTATAAATAGAGGTTTTACGGTATGTTCACCTTTGTGACTTCAACACATTTTTAGAAGTATGATTTTCTCCCTTTCGCAATATATCAATCAACCATTCTTAAAGAGGAAAGGAGGAGAATGGTTTTATTTACAATACGTATTTGGCACCCGATCAAAAAGACAGAGGCTCGTCGCATTTTCTTCCGCAAGGATATATTGGCTTTGGTTTCATTGGCTGAAATTGTGGGCCAAGACAGAATTGCACACGACCCGGTCTTGTTTACATGAAGATAAAAAGTTTACGATTTTTCCTCCGTCTCAATGCCACGAGCGTGAATATTGTCTGCATAATTTGGGGAGGTAAAGGTTTAGAAGTGGTATGTTTGGATCTGGTCTGTCGCCACTCAAGGACATGCAGTATTTATATATTTACATACAAATTCCCAGTCTGGCTATTCCTAGTCGGGTGGCCTTTCTTTCTAAGTTGGGATTATTGCTGGATGTCATGGTCTCTTTGGGTACTGTTAGAAATCTGGTATAGTCATTCAGGTATTTATTGATTTCTCAGTATTAAAGTACTACCAGTTGGTATTAAAATTTTGCCGATCCGTAAAAATTTCCTACCGGTATCGTAAAACTTTAATACCGAGCTGTTACTATCCCGTATTACTTACCAATACCACAGTATAAATATGTATATGAATACCGTTTGGTATTATATTAATACTGGATTTCTAATAGCATACACACATATTTGCATGCATGCGTTTCTTGTGTTCTGAAAATATGTATACAATACACTCTTAGAAAAATCAATACCAGATCAATACCAGGCGGTATTCATATGTGACTCTACCGTTTTGGTATTGATTTAATACCAAGCGGTATTATTTTGTATTCATACCGTTGTGGTATAAAAATGTGGCTTGCGGTACTGATTTTGTTTTTGCATGATGGTATTGTTTGTTAATACCGTGGGGTAGGAATCTAATACTATGCGGTATTAAATGAGTAAATCCGGTATTAACGAGTTATACCATACATTAAGAAAAATAACGGTTTAGTACTGCTTGGTATTGATTTAAATGTTATTTATTTTATCCAATTACAACTTGTAATTTACAAGTCAGAAAATTATAAATGACATACATACATAAACATTTACAAAAAATGGAAATCAACCATATACAAGATAGTGGAATAAGTTAATTTTAAAAGCTTGTACATACATAATAATGTGGAAGAGTTGAGCTGAGCTGACTGGATCTACAAACACAAGTAATTTAAAAAAAACATTGTGTAAACAAGTCACATCGTGCGGTATTTATTTTACATCTATTTTTCGATTTAAAATTACTTTATCTTACCTCCTGATTCGATAAGAAATCTGCCACTGAAACAAGTGAAAAGCAAGTTGTCAATTAGCTGAAATTTGAATTTTTGCAATATTTACATGCGTCTATTGTAGCTTAATTGTTGTACTTATCTGTAAATGTGTTCACCAACCTAAAATTATCCTCAATCCTATATTCACGACCGGAACAAGGAATTGGATAAGTCGATGAACTTGCTAAATATAAAAGAATTAAATTAATTAATAAAGCAGGAAATATAACGAAATTGGTGGTTTAAAATTATTCCCTATTAATTAACATAATATGTAGCAAAAGATAAAACTAAAAGACAAATAAATTTAAGCTCACCCTTTAAAAGTTTCCATCGGAAGTACTCAATTTCTTCCCCCCAAGTAATTCCCCAGCCGAACTAATTTAGAAGAACTTATTTCTAAAAAGACAACGATTAACTGCAAGTGAGTAGTTTGCACATCCCGCGCCCAAGTCTATACCGGACAGATTTGAGACTGCGTAAACGTGGTATAAAATCGGTACCGGTCAGTATTGATGTTTTACCAGCTCGGTATTACAAGTTAACACTCTGCACGTACAAGCTCGTGGTATTGATTTTTCGCAATATTTTAATACCCAATCGTGAATGTGTAATGATACCAGCACGATGGTATTAAAGTTTTTCAAAGATCAATACCCAGTTTCTAAGAGTGTATGGAATCCATATTAAATTGGACAATTAATTTATAAATGCAAAACTATATTTTGCAAACTTGGATAAAATAGAGCATCTTCGATACGAAATAAATTTACAACCTTAGATTTTGTCATCGTCGTCATTGTAAACTTATACCCACATTTTTAGCTTGTGGATTATAAGTACAGAGTTGATTGGATCGCAAAAATCGGAGTGAATCGCCCAGATAAATTTTACTGACCATCTGATATATACAAAGAAATTAAGAACTACAATTCACCCTTGGTGCAGATTATGATTCAATGAACTTGTCTTTTCACGTGTAAAAGTAAAAGTCTGAACTTTGTCCGGTAGGACAAAGTCCACTTTTACAACCCACCACCTGGGTTTACCAAGTCCATCTGTGCAACATATCCAATTTTTAATAACTTTGGTCAGCCCAAGAGTCGTATTAAAGAGTGAGAGTTAAATAAATGTTATATGTACATACGTAATCCGGTCTCTAAACAATTTGCAGTCGTGTTGCTCTTGACTATCAATGCTTTTGGCAAGATCAAGAATCAAGTGCAAAAAATGAGGAGATGAATAATATCGCGAGTGGTGGGTTTGCATAATACGTATGAATTAAAGTGGGTAGACATCTCCTTTTGCAAAAGCAGACTCCTTGTCGCCAACTCGATTTTGGCCGAGTGGTGCACAATAATTTGCACAAGTTAGCATGATAAAATTGCAATTTTGCAAGCTTATGTAACTGGTAGCAAATTATTTAAATAATTTGAGCACGTTATACTGATTTTTGATCTAATGCCATTCTATTTGCTAGGTAAATTTAGCTTTCAGAATTTTAAATGTTTAAGACCTACAAAAACTTAATGAACAAAAAATTTGCTAATTTCATTGCGAATTTAATACCTCAAATTCCAACACATCTGGAGAAGTATAAATGTTCATAGGTACAAGTGCAGCAATGTAACAAGATAGCGACCAAATTTCCAATGTGTAAGTATGTCTACAGCCATGCAATAATTACAAATATGTAAATACGTATTCATCCCATGTATTAAGCAGGGCGAGGTTGATTTCTACTTATGTATGAGACGAATCCAGCGTATCCATCGTTCGTGAAGACTTACTTCGCAGTTGGATGCTCAGTCTGTTTGTGTCGATGCAACAAAACTGACACAGTTGGAGACGAGCTGTCGATAAAGTGCAGTGCTTATCTATAAATATATCCAGCGAGGCAAATTGAGACTTGATATTTTTTCAGTCTCGTATTTTTCTCAATTCCAGAACAACTAAACTGTAGACTTTCAGTGTGAAATACGTATAATTCATGTTTTATCTTTGTCAAAAAAGTGGAAACTTACATACAATTATTTAAAGTAAATAACACTTGGTTCGATTTAAACACTTGAATGTCAAGTTTACCCAGTTTCTGGGAGAAGTTTTCATCTTTTGAATGGATTCATGAATGGAGTGACCTTGTTTTGTCGGTGAGTGTGAATTGTGAAAGAATTTGGTAATGATTTACTCAAGACATGCTGTTGTCTTACATACGTATCTTAGATATATTTACATCTGTATTGTACATACTTATGTGTATACTTCCGGGAAAGAAATTTTGAGGCATTTATGTATGCATCTAGTTTCACACTATTCAGCTTCCGTATTTTGTGGAAAAATTGAATGGAATGGTTTAATTTTTACCACAAAAGATAGGTATTAATGTCACGCCACTAAAAAATGTCTTCCGTATGTACTTACTTATGCATGAATTTGTAGGTACTTAAGTAATGTGTGTTTGCACATATATGTAAACGTGAATTGAGGCGAACTTTAGGTACGGCTTATGTACACCGATTGTATTTATTAAGAGGGTTACACGTTAGCAAAAATAAACAGAGTCGTTAAAACAGTCTGCGACGCATGATTTCCTCTATTTCGCAACAAAACGGCACTTTCTGCTGGAATTTAGTGACGCGTATTTGGCAATTGGTCAAATCCTGAAGGCTCGTCGTATCTTGGCTTTATTTCCATTGGCGAAAATTGTGGGCCACGACGACAAGTCTTAAGTACATATTTAATTTCTGCTTAAAAGAGATAACATTTGAGATTTTTTTACTACATGTAGGTGATGATGAGACGTGTGCAATTTTAAGAGGTACTTTTCGCCATGAGACGAAAAGTATTTAAGCATTTAGTGATAAATACGATTGCAGTTTTATAACTTGTTGTTTTATGAAGTATTTGGTGATCTGCGTCAGAAGAGGGTATACACACATAAATATTTAGGAAAAGTGGGGCATGGCGTGTGTGGTGTGATTTATCTAGTCTTTGGTATTAGCAGAGGATCCAGTTTGGTCAAGATGAAAAAATGTTACTAAATATTATACATGTGACGACGTAAAAGACTGCTTATTTCCAGTTTGGGTTTAGCTGGTATATTTTATTATATGTGGTAACAAATAAATACACATGAGTGCTATTAGATTTCGATGCAATGTTTATAAATATTTTAATGTTTTGCATTCATTTCAAATTGACTCATCAAATTAGTGCAAATGAAATATTTAAATTAGTAAAGAAAGGATTTGAGAATTTGGTGTCTATCTATTAATACTCATACAAAGAAATTAATTCTCTTTTACAAATGGACGAGTGGTAGAATTGCATAAATGAATAGTAATCAATTTTTTGCAAGTGGAATCCCGGAGCTGTAACAACTTGCAAAGTGCAAACTCCAAATGTGCAAAAATCCACCTACTCTTTAATCCATAATCTGCATAAGTGCGAGGTCACTCTTACATTCCATACTTCATCCTACGCTGTGCAAATTGTTGGAAGAAAATTTGCAATTCTTATCAAAGTTTATGTATACATGTGCAAATAATGAGTGTATTGTGTCGCTTCTTGCCATTTACGATGAATTTTAAGACGATTAAAACGTTTCGCTAGTGTATTACAAATTATTCGCACACATATGTATGCAAAAATTTTTAATAATTAAAAAAATTCACCAAGTTTCAATGAACCATCCCAATTTCGCAATAAGGAAATCATTCAATTTTTCACCCACTCATTTATTTAATTCCTGCAAAGATAAGTAAATAAATAAAATTTTTAAAGACGGATTATTGCAAAATTTAGAAGTCGTGATTTACATTAAGCAAACAAATATTTAACTTTGTTTACAGCACTGCACCTCGGCGATTCAATTTGCAATGAATGACAAATTTTACACAAATTTGCAAATCTACTATACTAAATTAGTTTGCAAATAATTTTGCAATCCTTATCAATCCAATCATCATCCCATTCATACATGCAAAACATGCAAAACTCTCTATTTTTATTACTTAACACTAAAGATTTGTATAGCAGTTTCGTTCTAGATACATACATTCGCTCATCCATAGACACATACATGCATATGCGCAGATTATTTACAGAAGCTAATAAAGTTTGCATCATTTGTGTGATTGCTATTAGGGTTAGCACTGTATTATGCATGTGGATGAATTAGCCGGCTCGACCAGTTCCCAAATTGGATGAATAATCAAACAAAGATTGACCTTCGCATTGATTCTGGGATTCTGGATTAAGTTTTGCAAACATAAAAAGAATGTAGTAATGAATAGAATTTTCTTAATAAATACATACATATGCATACATATTCATATATCTACGTATACATAAATGCCCTGGACATCAGACTAATTCGATTTAGACGTGACGAATAATAAACCCAGGTCCTGCATATGTACATAAATATTTACATACACCATATCACACCTCCCCTGAAAAAAAATAGTTGCATGTTTCTCCTAAGAGCACATTTTTAATTTTCTTGCTAATAGTAACTAATTACAGATATGCATATACACACGTATTGAACATAATTTATTTGAATAGTCTGATGCGTATGTACATATTTACATATACACATGTGCCTACTATCTAATTAACATCTTGTAAGCAGGACGTATTTAAAAGTGCGTTCATAGTTGGTTGTGCGTAAAAAGGACAAGGCCACGCACATACACATGTACAAACCTCTAACATTTATCTATGCATGTATGAAGTATGTACATACTTTGTAAAAAGTGTGTTGACAATATTTCTTCATCTTTTCCATAAACGAATGGTAAACTTGGTCTGATCAGAAGGCTGAGGAAGAATAAGTGAAGGGAATTTTTCAGACAGACACGTGTACGAGTGGAAAAATTTACGCACTTTTCGTGTACATTGACAGATTAAGAAAGGTTACTGAGGAGAAGAGGAAGAGTTGGCTTATTTTTACACACATGCATGGTTTTGTTATCGTGACTGGAATGCAATAATGGTCTGGAAAATTACGCAGAGAAGTAGTCTGGGTTCAAGTCGTTGTTTCCTCTGTAAATGGTACAATCTAAATAGTGGAAATTTTTGTGTATTCCTGACAATAAATGCATCATACTTATTTATGTAAATGAGTATGTAGTTCGGTTACGCTTTGTGGTTAAATAATGTTAAGGATGTTGGGATTAGTTTGTGAGTAAAGGTGCAAAGTGTACACAAATATTATGATGTGCCAATTTTTTTGATTGTGCTAATTCATTTCATTTTCTTTCCTCGTTCCAGATTTGTGTGAATCAATAACTAAATTGCAACCCATTCCCAGTCTTCCCGTGTGGACGTTAATTTTAAGGGATCAAGAAACAATTATTTTTTGATCCGTAAAAAAACAGAGGATGCAGGATCCCTCTCACCGGTTAAGTAGTGAAAGCGAGTCAAATTTTTTACCCAATTTTGCCAAAAATATGTCATTCAGTCGGAGGAGGAGGGAGCATCTCTCCAGCGTGCAAATCTCTCAGATGGAGGTAAGTTGAGATTTTATTATTTATTGACGCAATTCACACAGTCCTTGGTAACATTGTAAAATCCGTAAATTCTGTAAAATTTCAAACTTTCAAAATTTTACATATATTTCTAGGGAAAATTGGCTTATAAATCAGATCAAGCCGATGAATGGCATCATTTTTTCGCAAAAGGTTGTAAAACTATTTTACAAAACTTGCGGCTTTTACAAGTTATAAATGTTGTGAATTCGCTCATCGTAGATATTTATTTTTATTTCATAATTTTGTTATTCGTATACGTTCGTAACTTTTTAAACGAACTGTTTTAAAATTAATTGAAATAAAAACAAAATGTAAAATGTACTTAAAATCGTTTTAGGTCGTGGGGACAACGATGCTCTGCTTTCCCACGGATCATTCCTGGTTCCAAGGAAACATTAATACGGAGGACGACAGTTCCTACTCACTCTTCGGAGATAGACTCACTTCACAGGAAAATCTGGATATTATACAAAGCAGTACCGATTGTAATTTCCTACATGACGATAACAACAATACTGACGAGAAAGGAGATGAGACCTTGGTTGTCAACGTGAAGAATGAAGGGATCACTTACAAGGTCACACTGACCGACCATTTCACCGGACTGAATTACAATTTACCTGAAATTCGAGTTCATTTGGATCCCAAGGCTGCCAAGTTTCTCACCTGCTCGCAAGATGCACAGGTGTGAATTTATACTTTAACCTAGGACTCGATGACTCATCCTGAAAATCCGCAAATGCTTTGTCTTTTCTTAGCTCCAGAAATTTATTTAAAAATTTTGAACAAGGAATTTGTCAAGCAGGTCGTTGCCAATTAAAAAAAAATATGCACTACAAAATTTGACAGTGTTTTAGGGAGGATGTCTCAAGTTTAGAAAGCTTTCACAAAAATTGGAACTTATCGAAACAGGCTTATCATAATTTAAAAAACTCCCCACCATGCTATTCTAATCAACTTACAAAATTTACAAACTTACTTACAAATTTGATGTTCAAAATTTTAAAACGATTTCCCAAAGCTGAGAAATAACTTAAAATGTGATGATTTTTACGGTTTTATGTGAATCATCGAGTCCTACATACTTTAGTATTTAAATTTGTCTTTTATTAAATTGTGTCAGGAAATTTATGATTTTTTTCTCATGACAGGTGGATTTTAACGTGGAGGAAGTGTACCGTGGTCAAAAAGCGGACATGATGATACAACGCCAACTGGGGTCAAGTTCGCTCTTGGGGAGAAAATGTCTCGTTTATTCGGGACCAATTTCACTCATTTTTAATGATACGATCTCACTAGGAAAAAATTGGTGTTTGTAAATAATTAGAATTAAGGAAAAGGAAAGCCAAACTATGCAAATGTTGTTTATAAAGTTGGAGTCATGATTTTGGAAGTATTTTTATTGAGATGAAGTATGACGTAAATTATTATGTATAACTGATTCTTTACTGCAATTGTAAGTAAATAATTGTTTAAAGGGGTGTAATTTTACGCTATCTTAAGTATAAAAACCTTGACCAGACTGATTACCAGGAGAACATAACTTAGGTATGTGCATAAGTACTTTTTTAAAGTATTGGATAATTCAGTCACTGAATTTCAGTGTGAGACAATTCTTGCAGGCCTTACTAATATTGCAAATTCCTTAAATTATATAAATTTGCAAACCTTTACATACATAATTTAACATATTTTTAAGGAAAATTAGCTAACAAATTTTTGCAAACTTACGCAGATCAAGGGCATCTTTTTATTTTGTGGAAGTTCGCAAAATTATTTTACAAACTTACGGATTTTGCGAGTTACCAATGTCTGCGTGAATTGCCTCAATTTATTGTAATTGTGTACCGGAAGTATCTAAGAATACTGAAATAGAGTAATCTACATATTTGGCCTAATGACTACGTATTTTTGTGCGTAATTAAGTCTTACAAGATAGACCTAATATTTGTTTTGTTAACGTACATCAGTAAATACATACATAATGTTATGCAATATTTCCGAAGTATTCTTTTGTTGTGTCTTCGATTTTGTATCCGGTGTAAATATTTCAGTATCTGTTAAATCCCAATAATGACCAAACGATTAAATTTAAGTATGTATTTATAACAAATAAATTTTAAAAGGAAAATTATTATTTGTAGTATCAAATTATTACGATAATTGTCATTAATTACATACTCTGTTAAAAATCGCAATTATAAACCGACTATATTTAAATAGAGACTCGAAATGTAATCGTATCTATTAGTACATAAATGTTCACTTTACTTTTTAATCACGATCACCACGATCGGGAATTACCAAAATAACTCCGAAAATCAAATTTCAACTCAAATATAACAGTTGACAGTATAATTTCGCAATCATAATTTTTCTCGAACACGAAACCATTTCGCGAAACGTGTTCCTAAATTTCCTTCCACAATCGCAAAACACCACGTTCAAAGACGCCAACATTTCAGCAAAATGCTGTATCATTTTGGTAACTTGGGGGATGGTATGGTGCTTACTGCCACGACAATTTTAGTGATGGGAATATTTCCAGCATTATTTTGATAATTTTTTACGGTAGGAAGATATTGAAGTGAAGGAAGTACATATATACATACAGACATAAGTATTTTTATTAAGATGAAGTATGTACATATAATGTAAATTATTTTAATTGATTTCTTGCAGGTGACAGGAGTTTTAACTATATACATACATACATAATTCTTTAAAGGAGTGTAATTTTACGTTGTATATATTTTTAGAACACTGACTAGGAGGAGAGTAAGCTTTCAACCTGAATGCAAAAAGTTATTTAATTCTCATTAATTTTAGTTGTAATTTAAAGAATCTAGTTTAAATCTTCCCGAAAATCTTACAAATACCCATAAAAACCCCATAAGCATTATGGGTTTCTCGGAGATTTGATACCCCAAAAACCCACAAAAACCCGAAAGCGAACCCTAATCAGAGTTTCTTCATACATTTGTAAAATTATTTTTTTCTCGTGACAATTGGGATTAATTTTTAATCGTTCCAAAATTTGATTGATCATTTCCTGATCATGAGATAATTCTTGTTTTAATTCCGTTCATAATCTCGCATTTCTCTCGGTGTCAAATTGTCAAATTTCTCGGGTCAAATTGTTCACAAAAATCAATATGCACCTGTGATAAATATTTGTAAAACCGATCGCTTAAATTCTACCGATAAGAAATATTTTTTAATGACTAATACGAACGTACGTATATATGTATCTGATATTAAATATGTTATCAAGTCATATTTGCATTAGGTAAAGGTCATCTCTCGTATAACTAATTGGTACCATAATGGTAATGCATATGGTCACTCAAGGCAAGTTAATCTGGCTGCTCGATTGTAGGTAGATGACGAATTTTGTCACCTTATTAATACACATAATTCAGAATGAAGCGAATCAATAATCAGACCACTTACCTTATCGTGTCAATCGAGATGACCAATGACGAGAATTATATATGTAAATGATGGATATGTACATATATTCGTGGCCAATTTTCATCAATCGCATAATTTTTTGTCTTCCTGAGATAGACTTTTACCCAGTCCCGACTTCTTTCTTGTCGGAAAAGTTTTGTCAAAAAGTGTCCAGAGGTTTCTTTACAATGGGGAACTATTGGCTGAAAGTGGTCATTTTGGTGGGTTTCATTTGTTCCGTGAGTGGGCGCATGGCCGTGGAAGCTGACCAGGTTCACATTCCGGAGGAAATCGTACGATGTAACGTGACCTAAATCATATTTTTTATTTGCCTGTCTGAAAAATAATTAAGGGGCCGTTCAAAAATTATGAGGGGAAAATCGCAACTTTCTATACCTACCCATTAATATGTGTCACATACACTCTTAGCAAAACGGTATTGAATCATCACCAAACCGGGAGCTCACATGACTTAACCAAATTGTGATAATGTTTACCCCACATTGTGATAAATCTTCCCCAAAATGTGTTAAATCCTCCCTATCCAGTGTTACGTTTACACATTGGGGGGAAGATTTATCACAATGTGGGGTAAATATTATCACAATTTGGTTAAGTCATGTGGGCTCCCCGTTTTCCTAAGAGTGTAGGCATGATATCCTTAATCGTTAATCCCAAATTCAAGAGCATTGTGAATTAATCCTCCATCCTTAATCCCAACAAATTGAGGTATTTAATTAATCCCGGAATATAATTTATCCTTAATACTCAATATACCCCGTCACCCCCCTCGTATTGCATAATTTATGGACGGCCCTTAAATAACATACCCGGTTACTAAATGGTTTTTTCTCGTCTCGTCAACTTTCAGTGGGAGGTGCACTCACAGCCAGAGCTGTTTCGTGGCTGGTTCTCCACCGCCTGCAGACCAGAAATTTCAGACTTGAAGACCTGCGGAGTGATAAGCACGAGGGCAGAATCGCCTTCACCTTGCCCATCCCACTGCCCCCGCTCCCAGATCCCATCAGCATCGCCACCCTTGAGCTCCCACTAAACTTATCCGGTGAAGGTTTCGCCCTTGAGGGATTGATTGCGGCATGGTGAGAAGCACACATTTTTTTAAAACTGCATCGTCTCAATCAATGCCTTATTTATCAACAGAGAGAGAGGCGATTAATATATTTGTTTGTAGGATTTAAGGATTAAATTTATTCCGGGATTAGATTAATCCAGGATTAATTAAATAACTCAATTTGTTGGGATTAAGGATAGAGGATTAATTCACAATGCTCTTGAATTCGGGATTAATGATTAAGGATTCCTTAATCCTGATTAATTCCCGTCTAAGGATTAACAAATCCTGATTAATTCTTAATCCTTAACCCTGGATTAATGTACTTTTTATTTTACTGTATTCAACTTAATTTTAAGCATGATTAAGGATTAATAATTCACCCACGCTTCATAATGAGTAAGGATTAGTTGGCATGAAAATGCTGCGCCAGGATTAAAGATTAAGGATTATTAACCCTTAATCCCACCGTTAATCGCGATTAATTAGTCACGGATATCTGTTTATCAGCACTCCAACTTTTTTGCGATTTCAGCGAACCGCAAATAGTCGGACTTGCTGGAATGAGTGACGATTTGGTCGTGGTATACGACACGGTGTCGAAAACTGCAACCATCGATATGACGTTGGGATTACCAACTCGATCTCGCTGGACAGCATGAACTACATGATGGATTTGTTGATGAAATATACTGAAGGGACGAATGAGCGAGAAATGACCTTCGCCGGGACTGGGGGGTCATCCCTCGGACTGTCGGCATTCTTTTTAACCCTGGAAGGACGAGGACAGGTGCCCATCACGAGCGGGGAGTACATGTCGTTTGACCACCTCGACTTTGACCTGGGTTTCGACAGGGTAATTCTGGACTTTGAAAATTTTCTGATCAATAACCAACCTATGCCCTTGGACAATGTGGCTCGTATAATCAAAAATTTATTCGACACTCTTTGGAGGACGGGTAGGGAAGGAATTGTCGAATCCACGAGATGCTTAATTGATCATGCCATTAATGTAAGAAATAATGAGTTTATATTTACCACGACTTGAGATAACAGTAATAATGCTCTTTTTTGCAGGAGTGCACACCATTGGACTTAATTAGCGGAATTTGTAAGGCGCAAATTAGATATCTTAATTTTATTATTTCATTGGAGTGATTCAAAATTTTGGATAATTTTCAGATGATTGTTTAAAACTTCTTCCATTGCATCCTCCCTGCTTCGGAAGTAATGGAGCAGATTTGGTCGCCAGTATGGAGGCGCTAACTCCGAGACCACCTTCGCTCAGTTACTGCGTGCCAGACATTGAATCAACAACGACTGAAGCTCCTGAAACTCCTGAGGTCACGACCCCAACAACTCCAGAGGTCACGACCCCAACAACGCCAGAGGTCACGACCCCAACAACTCCAGAGGTCACGACCCCAACAACTCCCGAGGTCACGACTCCAACAACTCCCGAGGTCACGACTCAAACAACTCCCGAGGTCACGACCCCAACAACTCCCGAGGTCACGACCCCAACAACTCCCGAGGTCACGACCCCAACAACTCCAGAGGTCACGACCCCAACAACTCCCGAGGTCACGACTCCAACAACTCCCGAGGTCACGACTCCAACAACTCCCGAGGTCACGACTCCAACAACTCCCGAGGTCACGACTCAAACAACTCCCGAGGTCACGACTCAAACAACTCCCGAGGTCACGACTCCAACAACTCCCGAGGTCACGACCCCAACAACTCCCGAGGTCACGACCCCAACAACTCCCGAGGTCACGACCCCTACAACTCCCGCGGTCACGAGCCCAGAGGTAACAACTCCGACGGGAACGACCGTAACGACCCCAGATAGTGGTGCCGGCGTGGTCACATCCTGTGGACTTTTAGGACTCGTCATCACTGCTTTCATTGTCACTTTTACTGCATGAGAACATCATTTTAATAAAAATATGATGCACAGTCTACGTTTACTTTTGCGGTCGCTGCTTAAAAATAGAGATAAACGCAATCTTGATTATGACTAATGATTGATTAACCCATTATTACAAAAATCAAACCATCCATCGTTTCTTGAATCAACTCTTACATCGTCGCGATGTATGAATTGTTACGCAACATTTTTAAAGGCACTGTTTTTATGCAAATGCACGCATGCAAACGGGAGCCACCTCTAAAAATATTACACCTGTAAGCAATGCTTAATACCTATTTATTTTTAAATAACTCATATTGTGATAAGCTTATTTCACCCATGAACTGTAGTCATGCTTTCTTTCACGTGCTTAAGTAGTCATATGGTGAAGTAAATATTTAATGTGTCAACTTTACATTGTCACTCCTATGCGATGCAATATTTCCTATTTCCTAAGTATGCTTTTGTCTCTTTGATTTTGACTCCGGTTTAATTGCATACAAATTTTGCGATCTTTAACATGACCAACAATGACAAATGGGCTAAATTTAATTGCGTATGTATGTATATACATGCATACGTTGATATTTACAACAAAAAAAATTCTAAAATTACCATAGATGCGCGGACACTGGGTATCGTCCACAGTGTCGGTGTCAAGAATTTTTTTGAGTGTCAGTGGACACTGTGTCAGTGTCACTTATTGTGGTCGAGTGTCGGTGGACACAGTGTCGGTGTCAGTGGACAAAGTGTCAGTGCCACTGATTGTGTTCGAGTGTCACAGGACACAGTGCCCATATATATATGGGTGTACGACACTGGGTGTCGTCCACAGTGTCAGTGTCAGCCACTGACACTGAGTGTCGGTGGACACAGTGTCAGTGTCGCTCACTGTGGTCGGGTGTCGGTGGACAAAGTGTCAGTGCCACCGATTTTGTCTGAGTGTCAGTGGACAAAGTGTCAGTGTCTCGCTCAGACGCGCATCTATGAAAATTACTATAAATTAGACTTGTTTCAGAGCACTAAATTATTTTTAGGGTATTCAAAATTGTATCCGTATCCTTATAACTATAGTGTCTTAAAATAGTTTGTCAAGGAAAAACACGGGGTCAAGCTTCGTAAAAATCGTTACATTAGTAACGACGTTTACAAAATATCGTAACCGTCGTAACTTATTTTATTTACGATATGAAGAATACGAAAGAATCATAAATACCCTCAACAATAATTAAATAAATTTAATTATTTATACCATTGTAATTAAGCTCGCTTATTTAGATACATATGTACATAAGGAAATACCTCGTCAAATCTAATTTTAGCTCGAAAGATCACATTACAATTTAGCAATCATCATTTTTCTCCGACATGAAACCATTTCGCGAAACGTATTCCTAAATTTCCTCCCCCAAACGCAGCAAAACACTACGTTTAACGACGCCTCCAACATTTCGGCCAAATGTTGTGCCATTTTTAAACAAAAGTTCAAGACGGCTTGATCCTCGTTCTCAAAATTGTGCGTAACACAGACCCGAACCACTTGCACGATTACCGTTACTAGAGGCATGGTGCTTATCGCCACCACAATTTTAGTGATGGGAATATCTCCACCATTATTATTTTGATGTGACGATGCCATCGTTTTTCTCAACGCTGTCTGCAACTTGATGAACACGACGAGTTTAAAGTTCAGATAAGACAGGATTATAAACGGAACGAAGGAGCGAATTATTCCAACAAAAAATTTGGAGTAGTACCATTTCAGAAATGGATTTGTGTTTTGCTTCAAAATGTCTCTCGTACCGTTGGCGTCGTTGCATTGTTCGATGGAATACTTCCATATGAATGGAACTCCGTATAAGATTGTGGATACGAAGGAGATGATAATCATGTAAACGACGCGCTTCTTACTTCGACCTGAGGAAATTCCGGGTTGCATTTTTCTTACTGTGAGATGAAAATGTATGAGAAAATTCTAAATTATGTAAGTTCGTTTATTTAGTAATTTCATTAATTCACTCAGATTGTTTTAACTCAGCAAGGCTCATGAAATTATGTAAGTTATGTACAAAACAAAATTAATAATAAATAGGTTAATTTCTTCTGTTTGCATAGGTTAAGGATAAGTACAAGACCTGAGACAATTCACGCTGTCCTTGGTAACTTCGTAAAATCCGTAAATTCTATAAATTTACAAACTTGTAATATTTACACTATTATATTTCTAGGGAAAATTAGCATACAAATTTTTGTAAACTTCCTTAGATCAAAGTCGTCTCTTTATTTTGTACAGGTTTGTAAAATTGTTTTACAAAATTTGCAAGGTTACCAATGACTCCGTGAATTGTCTCTATGGAAAGATTGTTCATTTTACCGAGTTACAAACACTCGAGCGAATTTACTCACCTACTTGATAAGTATCGATCAATGTTGACCATAATTGTGGTCACTATGGATCCCATTTGTGCTGAACAAAAAATTATTATAGTAAAACTAAGCTTTACATGTGTATATAAATATTTAAATACTCACATGTCACCGAAACAAGAACTGAGATGATGAAAAAATCCAAAAGTGCCAGTTCCGGAAAATAGGGGATATCTGGATCACTTGTTAGTAAATTCAGGAAGGACACAAAATGCAAGATTTTTGATAAGAGGAGTAAAATATTCCAGACTGCGGAATGAAGAAGGAGCACATTGAAGGGAAACTTTCTAATGGATGGGGAAAGTAACACATTAGCACACAAAATATTCCCAACTATTCCAAACACCCCGATAACTGAGAGCATAAGATAACTCGAAAATATAACTGGATGTGAGATTCCGTCGTAGTGACGCAGAGAGGATCGCGTATTACATGATACCTCCATTTTGTTTGATTTTAATTTATTAATTACATATTTAATATTAGTCCCAGTTCACGAAACATAATTTTTTAATTCGCTGAGTTACACAGGTTTTTATAACAATTGGCTAATAAATTCATATATATATATATGTATACAAATCTATATTATAAGCTGGAAATGTTTGTCTGCAACGGAAGTGAAAGTAATTTTCCGTGACGGAAGTGAAAGCAGGGAAAGTTAAATTTCGAATGGCGCGAAAATTCAAAAATTTTAATTTTAAAAATAAATTTGAGGTTATTGGGTCGTTATTGTTCGATGGTGGTTATCAGAATGTTGCGGCCTGGTGGTGGTTATAAGTTGCCTAATGATATGCGGTTATCGGGGTGTTGCTCCGTGATGGTGGTTATCGGGGTTTGGTGGCCTGATGATGGTTATCGGGGTGTGGTGGCCTGATGGTGGTTATCGGGGCGTGGCGGCCTGCTGGTGGTTATCGGGGTGTGGCGGCCTGATGGTGGTTATCGGGACGTGGCACCTGATGGAGGTTATAGAGGCTTTGCTGCCTTAGGGGGGTTATCGAGTGGTTGCTGCCTGATGGGGGTTATCGAGGTGTGGCGGCCTAATGATGGTTATCTAGAATCTCTTAACCAGTCGGCACAGGCAGACAGAAATAGGCCAACATAATATACTGGCAGTATCGGAGGCAGTCTGCTGTGGCAGAAAAACAAAAGTCTGCAGTTTGGGCTTGCAGAGAAAACTGAGCCAAATGGGGTGCCAGACAAAGTGCCAGTGGCACTGCCATTGCCACTGCCAGACTGGGCTGACAAAGATGACAGACAAGGGACACTCACGACCTGTCGTTTGAGTCCAGGGTACCCACTATGTTTTTTTAGAATCTACTAGGACCCCAGATGAAGGATTCATTCATATTTCCGTGTAAAACTCATATTTGGCGCCATGGCGTAGCGCCAAATTCGCCAAATTTGATGGTTTTTCATTATAAAACCGCCATAACTTTTGAAATCCTGTACGGATTTTCAAGATTTTTGGCAACAATCATGACAAGGAGTTCAACTTTCGTATTTTATGAAATTTTTTCCAAAATTATCGTTTTTAACTTTTCGCAAAATTTCGAAATTTCGGGTTCGTCGAAAAAATGCTAAAAATGTCTCAAAAATTAAAATATTTTTATTTTTATTTTTTTCTCTAAAATTTGGACTTTTCTGATCATTTTAAGCATAAAATTTTAAAAATCCGACATAAAATGCAAAAGTTATGGGGGTTTGAAATTGATCGAAAATGCAAGTTTAGCGCCACGCCATTGGGTCAAATATGAGTTTTACACGGAAATATGAATGAATCCTTCATCTGGGGTCCTAGTAGATTCTAAAAAACATAGTGGGTACCCTGGACTCAAACGACAGGTCGTGAGTGTCCCTTGTGAGCCAAATGGGGTGCCAAAGTGCCAGTGGCACTGCCATTGCCACTGGCAGACTGGACTGGCAAAAATGACCGAGCCAAATGGGGTGCCAGACAAAGTGCCAGTGACACTGCCATTGCCCCTGGCAGACTGGGCTGACAAAGATGACAGAGCCAAGTGGGTGACATTTAATTTTCCACTTTAACTTTCGTTGCAAATTGCTTTCACTTCCGTTGGCGTCAAATTATATTTTAAAAATAAATATCTACAAAATATTTAACAGGTGAAATTTTGATAATCTAATCATCTCTCGCCCGGCGGGAGACGGGCTTATACGCTAGTGCTATATATGCTCTACGTTGTCGTGGGATCACACTGACCAAAAATATGTAAATGTAAATCTAGTAAGTTTGTATCTACTCGTATCATCTCTGCTTCTTCAAAATATATTAATATATTTATTTGCCACATGTTCACATAATAAGTTTCTTCATACATGTGAACATGAGCTAAACGATGACAAGTTAGGGTTCCGCAGTATTCTGGATGCATTGTAGTCTTTTTGGTGACATCAGAATAGTATTTTTTATCGGAAAATGGGGAGAGCTTCTCGACTTGAGAATCTGAAGTATGAATAAATGTAGATATGTTTACTAAATTATTGCATGCAATTGTCCGCACAAATATGTATATATATTTTGGGCTACATTTTTAAGAGTTTGTTCTTAAGGTTAGGGTTTTTTAATGTACGACTCCTTTGTAGTCAGCTTTTCCTACGTGTAATTTGTTTGATATGATAACGTGTGGGCAATTATAATGTGAAAATAAAAATGACTTTTCTGGGCTACAAGCATTTTTTTATGTGTGGTGCGTTTTACTTTTCCAAAAACAATTACATAATTCAAGACATTATTTGTAAATATGATTTAAACTATATAGATGTACATACATATGTCCATATGTGTATAGCACAATAACGAACGCATCAATAGTGTCTAGACGCACATAAAAAACTAGGTGCAAGTTGGAAAATTCTGTGTAGGAACCCTCGTGCAACTACGGGACGGAATGATTGAATTTGTAATCAGAATATAAAATCGAACAAAATACAGCAATTTGAAATTTAAGCAAATGCTAAACAGAATATCTGTGAATGTTGTTGTACACTCTAAATAAAAATGAGTAAAATTTACCCAAGGTTGGGTAAAAAAGAGGATGACACAACTAGAAGGTAAAATTTGTCCAACGTTGTGCAAAATTTATCCAAAGTTGTGTAAAATTTGCCCAATGTTGGGTAAATTTTACCTTTTAGTTGTGTCATCATCTTTTTTACCCAACCTTGAGTAAATTTTACTCATTTTTATTTAGAGTGTATGCACTTATTCATTACAAAATTTGTAGTTCATTATTAAACACATTTTCGATGCAGTTTCCAGTCGTGCATTTATGTAAGTGCTACATGTGTATTTACTTCATAATTTATTTGACTTTGAACCATAATGGGCCCAGGTGTCACTTTGTTTGTCTTGATTTTTTTAAACCACTTTAAACAAGATCAGCATAAATACATTTTCAACGCGTGGCCCAAATGACAGAAAATCACGACGTCATATTTTCCTACATATTCTAATATTTTTAAGTTTGAGAAAAAATATGTATGCTTATGATGAATTTGCATTACAAAATCTGAGATTATGCATATATGTCGCTTCAATCAATCATACAGAAATTTAATCAGTTTGAAATTTGCAAGAAACATCCATCAAGTATCAAGTTTAATGGAAATATTTGCGTTTAAGGCGAAGAAAATGCGACATAAAGTTAACAAGGTTCAGAATTTCTCAACTTACATACTTCGTATTTCTTCTGACAAACCTAAGCATTGGCAAATACCTACTTTTATTTTGTTTTGAAAATGGCATTATTGATTAAATTAGTGATCGTCGTGATCGATCCAAATTAATTTGGTCAAAATCAGAGAGAATACGCTGGAGATGTATTACTCACTTCTGTAAATTTTTTTAAATACGCCAAGATACATACTTGCTGATCAACTTTGCCATTTTACATACGATTAAAATGCAATGAGCAAACTTGATGTTTGCCCTAAAATAAATTCAAGAAATGTGCCTTTTGTCGATTTGTTAATCTCGCCCAGTTTCAGTCCAAATATAAAAAATGCTAATCCACGGTTAGGCAGTGCCGTAACTTCGTGCAACCTCAATTTCTTTAGTGCTCCTTTCAAGTGAACAATCGAGTCACGATACATTACTATTATTTGGTTCTCTCCTTGATTAAGATTTGCAACGGCGTCGAACGCTATGACAAGGATAGTGCAACCGATAAAACTCACTCCAATTAACCTTACAATGATATAGCTGGGTAAGTTTCTATTCTGTTTGATTGCGGCAAAGTTGCACATTATGCAACTGTGGGCGTTGTGGTTGGGTATGGTTGAAATGGCTCCAGGTCCGCCACGTCTGTTGGGCTTTGGTTACGGATCGGGGCCAGGTACGTCACGTCGGTGGCGTTGGCGTCGGTATCCCACGAGAGACGCCAGGAGGAGTCCGTAGCTACGATGGAGAGGAAGTGGGCTCGCTTGTGGCGATGAATATCCCAATGATTCACAATAGTTCGTATGTGTAATGTGCACTTAGATTCGGAGGAGGATGTGAAACACAGTTTATCGGATCGGTCGCCAAAGAACTCACACGCCACACACAATAGTTATCGTTAATGCACAATTTATAGGAACATTTATTTATCGTGGCGCAATAAATATACAAGTAGAATGTGTAAATTGGTAAGTGTGTACTTTATGGGGAAATGAATTATTACTGGGACTGGTAAGTATTTATAATATGTGAAATTGTGATATATATAATGAGTGGCGGAGAAGGTGAGAAGATGTTCTCCTGTTGAGTCCCAGCCTGCCACTGTCTGAAGTCCAGTAGCGTCGGCTGTATTTCTGAAGGTTGCTTCAAGGAGGAGACGCGTCCTTGAGCATTGAATATATAATGCTGAGTGAATGTCCGGTCACTGGATAGTGAGGAGAATGTGGAGACGGAGAAGAGAGATACGAAGGGATGGTGCATGTTGCATGTGACATCCCTTCACAACAAATGGATACGAAAAACTCGCCCAAGACCGCATTCGTTCCGATTAGATTATATGAGTGTGACCACATTACACACCCGGATCTTAATTGATTAAGGTGATCTGCCTTCACAATCCCAGACAGTACAAAATAAGATTTAATTATTGCAACCTCCAATGTCAGTAGGCCGACTGTTGCAACTGTACACGCACCGCCTCCAGCCCGACAATCAGTCCGACTGCGTACCTACCAACAATATGTCCGACTTTAAGTACCCAGCAATTTTTAAAACTAATAAAGGCAAATAAATCATTAAATGGATGGCAGAATGATAGCAGCGCATTGTTGGATCCACAATGTAGCACTACATCAACCTGGAGATGCACAATAACGATGTAGGCAAGAGGCGATGGGAATGCACATGTTACCAGCCAGCAAAAAGATCCCTAGTAGATCCCACTTCTGTTTAAGTACCTTGGTTTGAGCATCTGCACACAAAAGCATCCAGAAATCTTGAATGCATGTATACAACTATGTATATATGTATTTATGTATTCATTTTAACTACAATACTTACATTCACGTTTCAGCTTTTCGTTCCATCTCAGCAATGCGTTAGTGCAACATACAACGTCGTCGGAAAATACAAGAAACTGAGAAACGTATGCTACAAGCGCGAGAATGATAAAACCACAAGACGTTGCTCTAAGGAAGAAAACAATATGTCTCATGCTTCCATTGATGAACAGTAGGTTTTTGTTAAGTTGAAATAATGCTCGATAGTCGTCTAGCTAATCGTCTAGGTACCCAGTGGCGCTAATGTAGTCCGACGATTTTGCTGCCGTCCTAGATTCTCAAATTCCCAAAAGAAGAACAATGACGGGTATAATTTGTCTTAATAAACGTTTCCATTTTGCTTCACTAAGACAAGTTACACAACGAGATTTAGGATCCCATGATACAAACAATCTGTATCGAGGCAAATACAAATTTGTTGAAAACTCATAAAGGTAGTGTACTGCTTTACATTGTAGTTCGGTCGTCATGTCGGTTAAGTTACTCAATTTCTTACTTAATATTTCGCAGCACCTTATGTTTTTTCAACCAGTATCCCCAAAGTTTGAAACCTTTTATGATTATTTAAATGCTAAACAACTTCGCTTGTTTACCTGAAGTATTGATCCACAATGGTTATTTATAATTTAGATTTCGTTTGAGGCGGAGTAACCAATTACACGTGTACATATATCCTAAGGAACGGATGTTTTTTTTCAATATCTTACAATCATAGATAAATATTTACAGGATATCTTTCGTAACGAATTTTTGAGATCCTCATTATTTCGTTACACGTAGGTATTATACAAT